TTTATTAGGATGTTAACACTCCCACTTTATCTCGAGTTTTCTATTTCTAAAATTTTAGCATGTTATAAATATTATGTTTGTTTACTTCTGTTAGACTATAAACATGCATATGCATTGGACTCAACGTTAAAATTTGTAAGCATAATGTAAAATAGCATTTGGACCCGAAATAAGATGAAAAAAATAATATATATACTTTTTTACATATCTACTTTGTTGTGGTAGCATATGAGCCTCATAACCATTGATTATTTTCTATTATGTTAGTTTTGTAAATATTAATTATATTTTGAGACAAACATATCACAATCCTTAAAATTTTCATGTTTTTCACTGCAATTAAATTTACATATAAAAACTCGACTTCTATTTAAAAAAAAACTCTAACTCTAATTTCTCATTGGCTTTTTATTATCTTAATTAATTTATATTCAACTTTTTAACTTGTAAACACATTATAACATTTTGAAATAGGATAAATTCTTTTAATAAAAAGGTAAATATATACCATTTCAAGTTACATATATTTTTACTTATATTCAAACTTTTTGATAAATTTTAACATCAAGTTATCACATATTTTATATTAATTAAGTAATTTAGTTGTGTATTTTTCTTAGTTTTATTTATATTTAAAATATAAATATATGCAAAGAAATATGAAAAGTCATGTATTAAATATCTTAAAAACAATTTAATGAATTTTTTGTGCTGATGTGGACACTCTATATGGAGAGAGCAACTCCCTAATTATATATAAGACTAGGTTTGAAGCCCCGCGCAAGCGCGGGGTTGTTTGCGATAGTTTTCTGTTTAGTTTTATCTATACTTGTTGATTTGAATTATGATGGTTTTGTATTAACTTTCATATTTTTTGTTTATGTTTTGAGTTAACCCAATCACTAACATTAAAAATATGAACAATTTTCTTTTATTTTATTTTATTAGGATGTTAACACTCCCACTTTATCTCGAGTTTTCTATTTCTAAAATTTTAGCATGTTATAAATATTATGTTTGTTTACTTCTGTTAGACTATAAACATGCATATGCATTGGACTCAACGTTAAAATTTGTAAGCATAATGTAAAATAGCATTTGGACCCGAAATAAGATGAAAAAATAATATATATACTTTTTTACATATCTACTTTGTTGTGGTAGCATATGAGCCTCATAACCATTGATTATTTTCTATTATGTTAGTTTTGTAAATATTAATTATATTTTGAGACAAACATATCACAATCCTTAAAATTTTCATGTTTTTCACTGCAATTAAATTTACATATAAAAACTCGACTTCTATTTTTTTTTAAAATAAACTCTAACTCTAATTTCTCATTGGCTTTTTATTATCTTAATTAATTTATATTCAACTTTTTAACTTGTAAACACATTATAACATTTTGAAATAGGATAAATTCTTTTAATAAAAAGGTAAATATATACCATTTCAAGTTACATATATTTTTACTTATATTCAAACTTTTTGATAAATTTTAACATCAAGTTATCACATATTTTATATTAATTAAGTAATTTAGTTGTGTATTTTTCTTAGTTTTATTTATATTTAAAATATAAATATATGCAAAGAAATATGAAAAGTCATGTATTAAATATCTTAAAAACAATTTAATGAATTTTTTGTGCTGATGTGGATATGGAGAGAGCAACTCCCTAATTATATATAAGATTTGAAAGTTAAAAGGGAGAAATATAGTTGACGGCGACAAGTTAACTTGAAGCTGAGATTACCGACGACGCTGCTCGCTGAAATTCCCGTACAGGCTGCTTCATCCAGTGGTAACAATCGAATCCTTAATCCTTAGTCTAATTCGTTTTTTAATTCTGACCAATAATCTGATTATGATGCCGTTATTAAGCATATCAATTAGTAAAAGATCTACTGGCGATGTGAGGGCCATTATCAAGGAATTGACATTAGGGAAGAGACCTTTGATACGAAAAGCGAAGGAGCTATTAGATAGCATCCGCATGACCTGGCATTCAAATTCAACGTAAGCCTCTCTCTACTTATTACCCAAATTGAATATATATTCGATTGATTTTCAACTAACGCATTTTTAAAAAGGACAATTTCTTAAACACCTATCAGAATTTTGTGTGTTGTTGTTACAGATTAATTGGCAGTTGAAGTTATCGAATCTACCATGGTTCTTTTCTAAATTTGCTCTTTGAGATTTTTTGTAAAACAAATGTACGTGACGAAATAGAAACGACACTCCATGGCTATACGCTGCAAGATCCGTAACATAAAAAGATATGAAACACTAAGGTATGTGTTCATCAAATTAAAACTTTCCAGAAACACCAAGCTTGTTTAGATTCACATGCATAAACTTCACTCAGAAGATTTATTCTTCATCCAAAGAATTATTTGACGTTTGGTATATGTGTCATGTAGGTCAAACGTGTGTGGGATAGAGGCTATTCTCGAGTTTATATGACTTCGTGTAGTCTTTCATAACTTTGTTTTGATCCCTTAGTTCATTTAAAAGCTTCTTTCAGTGAATACAGAAATTGTAATAGTATTAAGAGTTCACGTCTCTTCCCTTTCCATGAATGGGATTGTTTCTCTCCTTCCCTTATCTTCCTTTGCAAACTGCTTTTCAATATGGTGGACATAAAACAAAGATAGATTGCTCAAATGAGCTTATTTAGACTGAAAATAGAAGTAGCTCATAAGAGCTTTATTGTGCAGAAATGTAAAAAGGAAAAGATTTTGAGATTGTCTTCAAGAACACAATCGGATTGAGATTAATATCATAAAAGGGTTTGAGGTGGCTGTTCTAACGACAGCCAAAGTTTTATTGCCATAAACACAAACTCATATTTATACTAGAGAGCAAAACCCTAAACACATGGGCTTGTTTAGATCACATTGGGCTTGGGCTGGAGACTTCTCTTTACAGCCTGAAAAGGACACTTTTCTTTCTTTTTTTTTAGCAAAGGACACTTTTCTAATGATTCATCTCCCCCTCAAAAAAATTTGTCACTAGACCCTCAGATCCATTAAATGGAGAAGCATCTGTGTTGACGATGCGTGAGCGTGATGGTACTTCTTATAAACATTTTAAAATGTAGTATAATAAGATGTGTATCCCTCTTGTTATGCCTAATTCGGGTGCCCAACATAAACTCAAATTGTTTCTTCAAAACCATTATCCCAGTCTCCAGTTGTAGCAAATGACAATTTGGATTTTTACATGCGCTAGAATTCCCGAAAGTGATTGTTGTGATCTCCAATTTATGATATTTGGTAAATTATATATTTTGTAAGGTTGTTCTAATGTTGTACTATGAGTTTATATATATGCAATATGAGTTTATATATATGCAAGGCTTTTCTATTTTTAATTTTTGACAATCATCCCATATGCTCTATTTATATTAGAAATCATCTTAAAATTTATGTCAAATAAATAATTTAGAATTAGTTATCAAAAGAAAAACCCGCGCGTATGCGCGGGTATTAGCCTAGTATATATATGGAACTGACACTAATACCACTAGTGAGCAGAGCAAAACAAAATATTATGAGATAGTTTAAATCTAGCAAGTAATGCAACGTCTATGTCTTTTGGGTATGTTTTTGGGGGAATTGCTCAATATAGTACATAATTTGGTTTGAAATGCAAAAGTAGACCCCTTATTGCACTTATGTCAAAACTAGTCTTCTGGACATGTCAAATTACAAACCATACCCTTATGAACAAACAATAAACGAGAGTCATAATGTCTGTTTTACCCTAGTTAAAGTCTACTGATAAAATCTACTCTAAATTAGACTTCGCCATGAAGTCTACTTCATAATTACAACTTATATTTAAATTATAAATTTAAATAAAATTAATTTGATTAAAAAAAATTATACATAAATAAGGTTAACACATTAAGCATCCATTAAAAATAAAATTGCATAAAAATGAATTCATTTAAGTCAAATAAGATTAATTATGTTTGTAACCTCTAAACTGTGTGAAGTCTACTCGAAAAGTCTAATATATGATAAAATCTTAAACTAAAATTTTAAAATTTATTAAAAATATTTTGGTAAAGAATTTTACACATAACTTTAACACAAACAATTACTATCCATGAAAATAAAGTTTCATATAAATTGATCAATTTAAATATAGTAAGACAAATTATGTTATAATCCAAAAAAATTGTGTAAAGCCTACTGAAGAAGTCTACTAGATAACACAATCTTAAATTTAAAGTTTAAAATCTAAAAAAAAAAAAAATTGATAAAAAAAGTTATACATTATTTAAATAAGGACAAGTCCTATCTATGTAAAATAAAATTTCATGAAAAGGAATCAATTTATAAGTTTCATGAGTAAACCAATCATCAAGCTTAGTGTTTGAGGTATATTGTATAGGGTTTATGATTCATTGTTAGGGTTTAGATAGTTTTGACAAAAAAACATTTTTAAAGTTCGTTTAACGATTTAAAGCTTACTAATTCGTAGTCTATAATGTAAATTGTGATTATGTATACATAATTAATATTTCTTATAATCTTGATTTTAAAAATTCGTTTTAGGGTTTAGGGTAAGTCAGACTTCATAGGTAGACTTCACTGTTAGACTTCTCTACGAAGTCTGTAACTAAAAAAAGCGAGCGGGAAATGAAATATTTTGGGCGGGATTTTGGGCGGGAATTAGTGGGAATCGGAATATATTGGAACAAATTTATGATACAATAAAGTCGGTTGGGGAGACTTTAGGAATAGACTTCTCTTGTAAACTTCATGATGAAATCTATTTAACCGAATTTAACCGGAATTTTTTTCATCTAACCGAATTTTTTTTCATCTAACCGATCCTGGTATATAAAGAAATAACCTAATTTTGTGGAAAAAAAGATCAGAAACTCAGCTCACGCGTCTCTCTCTCCCTCTCTCTCTTTCATCATCTCTCTGTCAAACCTTCGCCGCTTCTTCTCGCCGGAGCGAATGGCGTCTCTCTATGCTCCAATGGATCTACGCCGCTTCTTCTTCTTCTCGCCTGAGAAAAGCCACTCGCCGTCAACTTCGCCAATTTTTCTCGCCTGAGCGAATGGTGGCTCTCTCTGCTCCAATGGATCTACGCCGCTTCTTTTTCTTCTTCTCGCCTGAACAAAGCCACTCGCCGTTAACCTTTGCTGCCTCTCCCTCGCCATTAACCCCCGCCTCATCTCCCTTCTCCGCCTCTCTCTCCCTCGCATCCCTCCTCTCACTGTTGGATCTTTCTCTCTCTGCTAGGTGAATCTCTCTCGCTTCTCTCTCTCACTTTGATTCATGTTTTCAATTTTCCTGCTGCCAATGTGTTCTTATCTGATAGAGTAAGACTAGATTCTGTATTGGTTGCTGCAGGATATGGCTGAAAAGATAGAGCTATTGGAAGTAGAGGGTGAAAGACAAGGTGATGGTTGGGTACGTGAAGACTCCTCGTGGTCTCCGCAGTCTAAACACTGTGTGGGCTCAGCATTTGAGCGAAGAAGTAAGGAGGAGGTTCTACAAGAACTGGGCCAAGTCGAAGAAGAAGGCTTTCACCAAGTACTCGAAGAAACATGAAACTGGAGAAGGGAAGAAAGACATTCAAAGCCAGTTGGAGAAGATGAAGAAGTACTGCACAGTCATCAGAGTTCTTGCTCACACTCAGGTATTGAATCTCTCTCATTATTTGAACAAAAGCTTCATTAGCTTCAATTGTGTAATTTGTTTCTGTTTATTATGGATATGCTTTAGATAAGGAAGATGAAAGCGCTCAAGCAGAAGAAGGCACATATGAATGAGATTCAGGTCAATGGTGGGGATGTAGCAAAGGCTGAGTTCGACAGGTAATGAAATGAACAATCTTGAGTCAGAAGTGACACCGTCTATGTTACTTGTTATTGCTTTGGTGTTCACCAGCTCTGTCTTCGCCGATGACTGAGAGATTGGTAACGGAGCCGAATCTGGTTCCTCTAAGATCCACCTGATTCAGCTTATTTGGAGAAATAGGTTAGCTTTTTGATTCATGATTGTTTCTATAGAGTTAAAAAAGACAGAATTTTGGGTTAAAGCTTCTCAATGGTGTTGCAGGGTGTGTATTTGTATTGAGCTGAATCGGTCTTCTTCTTCCTTCATATAACGAAGCAGCTTTGATTATCAGGTGCTCGATCTCTCTCCTCCTCTCTTTGCTCTTTCAGTTTGTAGCTCGATTTGAGTTCTTTGCTAGTACTAGATTTGTGTTTGCCTGCAAATTTGTGCATTTTCTCTAGTTAGGATCTGTAGCTAAGCTGCGAGATTGTCCTTGTTTATGTCAAGTTGATTTTTTGTCTTGTAGACTGTTTTTTAACGCCAAACATCAGCTTTGCTCATATTCAGTTGTCTTTGAACCTTTTTTTTCTTCTGTATATGCTCTACTACCATCTCTTCTTCTCAATGGTTCAGAGATTTGATATTGAGATTGCTCTTTTAGCTTAGGGATTCCAAAATCAAGCTTTATTGATGTTTCAATGGTTTCAGGGAGCTGAAAAGGTTGCAGATGCTCTGAAGCAAAACCGTTCAATTGCAACTACTGTCATGGTGAGAAGTAGCCATCTTCTTCTCCATTTTCCCTAAGGTTTGTCTTAGCTCACTTCATCTTTGTTCTCTCATTCCATCCTTCGTCTATGTCTTGTCTTGTGATTACACTTGACTTTGATGGACATTTGTTTGAGAAATGTTTAACTTTTCTGTTTATCTCTTTCTGCTATTTGCGTTAACTGCATAACCAAATTATTATGAGGTCCTTGCATAGCTGTATCCACTTTCCAGTGACCTGATTGCCTCTTTTATGTTGTTTTTTTTGGTTATAGGTTCAGTTATATGCATTATGATCACGACCATGGTCCCATACACAACTCTATCGAGGCACTAGACAAGATGGGCAATGGATATAATAGAGACAGGAGATCCAGATGCCTTCAAGAAGTATCGACAAGATTTTGACAACACCAGAGGCACTTTTCAGATGCTAAAACATTGCTCAAGCAAGATGAAGATAAACTTCCTCAGTCAGCCAGTGCCTAAAACTCTTATTATATGTTTACATTTCGGTTTCAAGGTCTTTTAGGTTCTAAAAGTGTCATGTAAACGCATTTGTCAATGCAAAGAAACTTAGAATACCAAAAGTTTATGTTTACAATCCTCTTTAATAATTTATAAACCATCCATTGACAATATCTCTAATTTCATTTTCCTACGAAGTTCATACATAGAAGCACAAATCAAGTGTCTTGATACTTGAAAACAAAGATACAATCAAAATCAAAATATACAATCAAAAGCTTACTCTTACAATCTTCTTGCTCTCTATTCATTAGACTTCAGATATTTGTGATAAAAACTCGTGAATAAGAAATAATAAATTTAAGAATAAAATAAAAAGGGACCAAATTTAATCATATAGTTAGACTTTTTGCATAAACTTCAGTATTAGACTTCACAGAGAAATCTACTTGGTAATGTTTAATGTGCTGTTCAAATAAAAAAATCGTTTTCATTTTGTGTAAAACGAATAAGCATATCAAACTAACACACAAGCAACTTAACAAAATAATACAACTAATTGTTCAAGAAAATATTGAAATTTCGTTATACATTTTCCAAAAATGCGTTTTAAAATAAACATCACATAGTAGACTTCTGGAGTTGACTTTACAGATAGACTTTACTATGAAGTCTACTTGCAAATATCTAAAATGTTAATCAAACAAGAAAACCATTTTTACTTGGTATATAACATATAAACATATCAAACTAACACAAGAGCACATAAACAGACTAATACAACTAATTGTTCAATAAAATCTAAAAAAAATATTATACAATTACTAAAAATGCGTTTTAAAAAATTACATCATAAAGTAGACTTTGTCCGTAGACTTCAACGATAGACTTCTTCATGAAGTCTATTTACTAATGTCTAAATTGCTAATTAAATAAGAAAACCGTTTAAACTTAGTATATAACGAATAAGAATATAAAACCCACACAAAAGCAACTAAATAGACTAATACAACTAACTGTTTAAACAAAATTATAAATTTCGATATACATTTTCTAAAAATTTGTTTTAAAAAAAAACGTTAAATATTAGACTTCACGGTGAAGTCTAACTATTAGACTTCGCAGTGAAGTCTAATAGACTAGTTATGCAATTAACGAAACAAATTCTTTTTGTGTAAGTCTAGCCGTGAAGTCTACTTTTTCAAAAATGATTAGTTTTGCAATTGACCTAACGTTGACTTCTCATAATAGACTTCATCAATGTACTTAGACTTCAATTTGAAGTCTAACTTCATAATAAAGTCTACCGGTAAAGTCTAAGGACAGAGTTAGACTTCATATGGGTTAGTTTTGCAATTCCAAATTTTAAGTTCTGGTAAGTAGACTTCACGAGGAAGTCTATTTCAAAAAACGTTGACTATTAGACTCCATTGTGAGGTCTAATACAGCCTAAATAGACTTCATGAATAGACTTCACAAAAAAGTCGTGCATGGTCAATTGCAAAACTAGTCTTTTTTTTTAAGCAGACTTCACAGTTAGACTTAGCTTAAAAAAATTTGAATCGGCCAATTGCAAAACTAATATGTTTCGAGTTAGACTTCACGTCGTTTTTTTTGTTTTCAAAGGAGTATGGGGTAGACTTCATTGTGAAGTCTACTCTCCAAATTTTTTGAAAAGTCAATTGCAAAACTAGTGTGTGAGTTGACCGATAGACTTCATTGTGAAGTCTAATTCGCAGCAAAATATGAAAATCACTCAGATCTACAGAACTTTACCTTGCCGTGATCTTAAGTTATGTTGACAGCCTAGAGCTTTGATTTAGAGTTTCAACAAACTTCCCAACCGTTAGAATGAGCTCAGACACCGAAAATGGCAAGATCTAAGAACCTTATTTTTGAAAAGATGAAAAACTAAGTTTTTGGGGTGAAAATGGAGATGAAAGATGAAAAACTAAGTTTATGAGATGATAGAATGAGTTGGTTGATATGTTTGAAGAATAAATCTTGCATTCAAAGCTTCATTTTGGTTGAGAATGGTTGTTGGATGAATTGATGGTGATGGCATTTTCGTGATTAATTGAAGAAGATGAGGTTTCTTTGGACATTTTTTTTTAATTAGACTTCAGAGATAGACTTCGAATGAAAAAGTAATGGCATTTTCGTTATTATGTGAATATGGTGAGGATAGAAAAGGAAGAAAAAAACACATTTTACAATGGAGACTACTTTTGTATTTGACCCCAAATCTTGTACTAGAAGTGAAAGAAGCCCTATTTTTTTCCGTTTTGGTATCGACATTCAAATGATTTACGTATAAATATTAAATACTGTATAGAGTTCTGCAAAGATGAGACAAATATGAGATTTGAGTTGCGTACCCAAAGAGATGAGGCTAGTATGTGAATTCAAGGGTTCAGCGTCATGAGTCATGCTTTGACGGTTTAAGTATTCCCCCAGAATGAATGTAAACGTCGAGTAGCACACCCATCATGTTTTTTATCAGACTTGAAGCGTGGCACCATTTTGACTTTGCCAAGCAGGAGTGGTTTAAAACATACGTATATCTTTTCTTTTGTATCATTTGACATTTCTTTTCATCGTTTAATTATATAATATCATATGTGCACTTGTGTGAGATACTTTGGTAAATACACCACCGCATATGTTCTTCAAAATTTTTATACCAGACGATAAAGTGGTATAAACAATTTCACATGGAGCTGACGTTAAAAGTGTCCATTTGCTATAGCCCATAGATTTCAAAACTCCCTCCAGTCCATTATTTCCTCGGTTAATCTCTTGAATGTATGTTAAGCCAAAACTTAATCCCTTCTCTTCTACATTTTGAGGTTATTCTCTTTTGTAATGGTAACTTTTAATTAATGAAAACCCTTTATAAAAAAAAAAATGTATGTTAAACAGAGGTATATATACGTCAATTATATCCAAAACACAAAATAATTGAGAGGGTAGAGAAGCAAAGATTACTTGCATGATTACATCTTTGCTTCAAATCATGTCTGTCTAGCTTGGTCTATATTTTCTGAACAACCCATGTCGAGAAGCACCAATCTTCCCTCAGCTGGCAAAAGAATGATCTACAAAGAGAGAGACAGTTACTTGTAAGTTGTATCAGACAGTCAGACAGAATTTTATAAAGATAATTTTCGTGGTTACAAACCATGCAGTAACTATGTAACTATGAGAGCTTCTGTCATTGCAAAGTATACATTTGAAAATTCTCCGTTTCTCTACTTTCACAATTTCTGTAGAGATTTTCCAGCCTCAGTCTCTGAAATGAATGTTTCGCCTTTTTCTTCATTACTTAAAGCCTGATCTGCAAAACAACTAAGCACATGCTTTTGAGTTTTGAATATTGATTATCATATGACTATTGCAAAATAAGTCAAACAAGACTCCACAAGTCAAAGGCAGAAACATTTTGGCTTCAAATGTGATGTCTACGTGAAGAATAAAATCTATAATAATCTCTGTGAAATTTTCACGAACATAGAACTGATAGGAATGAAGAACTTATCCTCCGTTTGGCCAGCCTATCTCTAAATTCATGCCACTATATTAGTTAACTGAAACAGACCAGAAAATATATTTAACACGTTATTGCACCTTCCTGGTCTGAATCCCATAAATGAACCTGAAGAAGACACAATCCCGGAATGCTTGTCGCGTCAAAATTCCAAGGTACGTATAGCTCTTTCTTGCACCAGTAGGTCCGTACATATTGATTCTTCATATATTCCCAACATTTCAAGTACACACGCTTCAAGAACTTCCAGGTCATAGTAAGAAACGCAACGGAAGATGAATTTCTTTGTATCGATAGGCAACGGGAATAAGAATTATTGGAATATCAGCACAGAGAAGATGAAGAGAGTTGAAGAATTGCTTAACGTTATAAAGAGATAGGGGGGGGCGGGCGTCATAAAGACGAGTGAAACGTTTTTACCAAAAAAAAAAAAAAAAAAAAGACAAGTGAAACGTCTAATAAAGGGAGGATAAAAACATGGGCATGACTAAAAATGAAGCGATCGCTTGTAACGAGGAACGTCAATGAGAAGAGGCTGAACTACCATTGCCACATGTTAATCGATGAGTGGCGAAAGCCTTACTATTTTGCAATTTTGTATTTAAACTGTCACGTGTCTTTGTTTGCTGTGTCCATGTGTCACAAATATGGAGAAAGTTTTTCCTTTTTCATATATATATATATATATATATATATATACTAGGGGTATTCGCGCTACGCGTGGGTTGTTTATGTGATTATGTTTTTTTACAAGATGTTTGTATTTTTCAAAGCTAGTGATCAAGTTGGTATAAATACTTGCCGGTATGGGGATATGAAATTAAACAGTTAGATTACTTTTGTTGAGTAAAGTTGATTTATTTTGGTGATTGAACTCGATTAGTTTTGGTTTTTTCCGGCGAAAAACATTATTGAATTTAATCAAAGTAGTTAAGTTGTAGTGTTGTTGTGTAGTATTTTTACGACGAAACTAAACCCCGGATTAAAATAGTATCACAACACATATGTCTTGAACATGGGTTGTGTGTAGTTTTTACCCTTTTTTTTTTGCAAGCTCAGTAATAGGAATGCTTAATATTAATTTTTTCATTGGTAAGAAAATAAATATCACAATTTCTGGGTATGTGTAAGTGACAATCAAGCAAGGAAAATAAAACTCATGTGATGACCGTATTTTATTCTCGACCGACAAACCTTTAAATCATGTTAACGAACTTCGCCATCTGTTTGAAGTAATAGCAGTCTTCACATCTGCTACCGAGGTCGTCTTAGTCACACATAACTATGAGTCCTACTTCATACAGTGTTTCCTTGTAGATCGGGAGTTCTCGGACTTGCATTCCATGCAATGTCCTTTTGATACTTTTCCATGTTCGATCACCCTTAGCCATGTTCTCTCTCCATCTGAGTGAGTCCAAGTAAGCTGTCCCTTCCTCCATTTGGCCCCTGCAGCACAATATAATCCCATATAGGTATATCCCGTCCTTGTATGATCCTTGTGCCGCAACTTTCAGAAATCGTAGTTCGGCCTCCTAATTGTCGTTGTGGCAGTACTCGATTATGGCCTTGATGTAATGTGTTTCCACGTTGTCGCTTGAAAGAGCTCTTGCCATGATCTCCTTGTAGCTGTGCACTGTTGTCAAAGGATGGAGTGCAAGTATCCTCATGTTTATTGCCTTGTACACTCGTTCGTGTGCCGCTGCTTTTGCCAAAACCGGTGAGGTTTCCATGACGGTGCGGAGCGTTGACATAGAGAACGCAGCTACTTGGGAGAGAATATGTGAGAGGATAAATTTTGGGAGCTGAAGGAGCCTGCTTGTTTGTTGGGTGCGATCCATAATTTTGGATGTTTGTATGTATAGAACCGTCTGTCGATGGTCTTCCTTTTATAGGGCGTATTCGTATTTGCGTATCACAATATAAAGTAGCGGTGATTACGTGATATCTTCCGGTGACTGCGTGATTGTTTCCGGTGATTGTGTGATAGCTTTTGACTGTATAATGTGTTTATGTTTGTTACTTATTTTGAACCCCTATCTTTGAAAAGAATCTCCTAATATGTTGCCATTAATATCTTGAAGCTAAATCTCTCCCTTTCCCTCGTCCTCCGCTACCACCTCCCTCTCACCGGCCGCATCACGTGGGAGCCAAACAACCCCAAGCCATGCATCGTCGTCTCTCAAAACGACGCTGTGTCAGTGACTCGCTTTGGTATTTTAGTCTGACGGTCTCTCTGTTTTTCCCGTGTTTGCCGAGTGCATATTATTAGAACAGAACATCGAAACAACGTCACTCAAACAGTTGGGCCTCCTGAGATTAAATGTGATACAACGAACCCAACACATGCTGCAACAATCGGAATCGATGACAACGGTCAACTTCATCTCTGCAAAAAGATAAATCAAAAGGTAAAGTCATGAAAGAAGGAAGAGATGAATCCAGAGACTTCCCGTCTACTACGCAAAACAAATTTGACTATTATATTTACGTATAAGTGATTTGTTCATTCATGCTAGAGTTCGTTGGTCGATTTCTTGTTCCGCAAGCCATCGTTAATTGGCTTTATCGTTTACTCCTTCTTCCTTTATTGTTCGTGAGTTATGTATGTCATGTGTTTACTTAGGTTGCTAGACTCGTTAAAGTGATGATTGTTAAACCTTTTGTATGAAGGAAATTTGGTTGATTACACTTTGTTTTTGAATTGAAATCATTATTAAATTGTAATGATGTGTTTTACTATATGGTTACGTGAACGAATTATGCTTGCATAATTATTGCTCCTTGTTATTGGTTGCATGTGATTATATTGATTATTCTCACGTTAAAAAGGTGTAGGTTGGAAGATCAACGGATAGATTTAGATCAAATGGTTTAGGGTTTAAGAGGTATCCCTTTACCTTTGGCTATATATAATCTCGTAAGCAATATTGTAAAGCTTTTCATCATTGGAGGTGTAACAACCGGAAGGTTTTTATTAAAGAGTCCAAAGAAGGTGTGTGTTTATTGGCGAGATAGTGTTCCTCACTTTCGTAAAGGAACAACTATAACTATTACATTAAACGAAATAGAGATGGTCTACCGACGCAGAAGACCCTCTCGTCGAGCGATGACGTAGGTACCAACAACTCAGGAGTGGGTATTCTCTCCACATGTCTGTCCATTCCCTCAAGGCTGGGTCCCACCGGAAAAACATTCTGGCGGTTGCATTTCTCAGTCGGTGTGGTTCTGTCATGTTTGCCGCGATCCAACGGGTGAACCTAGTTGTTTGTACACCAACACTTCCCACATTATAAGGATGGGGTGGTAACCTCTGGACGGTGCGAATGTTGGCTTGACTGAGGTGATTGAAGAGCCTCCATGAAGCTTCACAGGCGTGAATGTAACGAATGTGGTAGTACTCAGATTCATTCTCCTTGCTGTTTTCTCTTGAATATGTCCCTGGAAGTGCGGTGGATTCTGTTATGTTAATTCATCCGTCAATGGTTATCCTCTTGAAACCGTATGTGATGGTTTTGATTTGTAAGTCAAGATCGCCGAATTCTAGAGTAGCCGATCTGGAAATTGATTTTTGAGTTTGGTTGGAGTAATAATAAATATAATAAGTAATACATTTTGAATCTTTCAATGTTGGAAAACTTACGTTACGTAGCAAGTTTGTGGTGTAAGTCCGTCTGACCTATATGTCATCATCTTTCCTTCCCGTTCTTTGAAACCTGCATTGGACACATGTAAACTGACCCGACGTTAGTAAGACGACAATAATTGATCTCTACTATAATCGTGAATGCACTATTTGTGTGGTTTATTTAGTAAATAGGACAAAGCCGCAGGAGAATGAGCTCATAATACTCTCATTAACAGTTGTTTAGCGAATACAAAAATTAGAATAACAAAGATCTGACCAGTGATTTCTGTGTTTGCTTTTGCAAATCTGAGCAAGCGCTGAGCGTCCGAGGGCATGTATATCTCCTTGGTTATCGCAGTTGAAGGAGGAGGGAAAGGTCGCTCGATGATGATACTGCCGGTGAGGATTTGAATAAGCTCGGTAATGGGCTCGGGCTGTAAAACGGAAAGCCGGAGGATTTCGCGGGGTGTGAATTCGTTTGGAGCTTCTTCGTCGGTTTCGCCGGAGACTAGGAGAGTGTTCTTCTTGGTGTTCAATGGGTTTTCCATGACAAATCCCCATTGATTGTGATGGACGAAGGTGGAATAAAGATTAGACGAAGAGGGTGGAATAAAGAAGGTGGGTGACGTGGAATAAAGGAGAATTTAGAAGGTGTTATTTTTGCTGAGGTGGCAACACCATAAGAGAATAACACTAACTATATATATAGATATTTATTTATTTATTGCATTTACATGAATTAAATATTATTTTATTGTTTAATTTATACTATTAAGTAAATATTTGCTTGATAAAAAAAATTAATTTCAAAAGTTATTGATATTGAATTGAAAAAAAAATATTTGTCAAAAATTTAGAGTGACACATTGCAGCCTCTCAAAGAGTGAGAAAGAGTGTAACCCTATAATATTATAATAGATAGATAGATTTTAAGTTTGAATATAACTAATATTTTAGGTATATAATTATATTTTAGATATTTTGGGTACCCATTCAATTCAAGAGTTGGTTCGGTTCCAATTTAGTTTTTTTTTTAATAAGATTGTTTTATGTATTATCATTAACTAAGATCATGATATGTTTAAAGATATATTATTTAGAAAATGACAAATATAACAAGTATGATAATATTGTTATGGGTTAATATATGGATACCCATTAGCCCATTAAGTCCACTTCTCTATTTATATCTTCTCAACTGAAATCCTATGTTATACTCCTATATATATGATCTATCATTCAAGGAATAAGAAAATTTCATTCTCTCTTTCTCACAACACGTTATCAACATGAGTCTCTCAAAATCAAAATCTCCTCATAATTCTTATTGTTTGAATTCACAAAATTCAATGCGTAATTTTTATTACTTTGTTGATTTATGTTTATTCTACTAAAATCTATTTTTATCAATATTTAATCAATATTACTTATTAATAATATTTTGGATTCATCAAACCACATGTTTATATAAAATCGTTTTTAAAACTGTAGTATTAAAGTTATATAAACGATTTTAAAACCATACTACAAATTTAATGGTTGTTAAAAGCTGATTTTAAAATCGTTTGATGTGCATATTATTGGGTGAAATAAATTCACTAACTTGTCGCTCGTTAAACTCTATTATAAGCTCGAGATATGATAGACTGACGACCATGGCGATCGGTCGGACTTACCTCAGTTTGCCACTTTGCCTAAAAGGCCTTAAGCATCGACATACCTCTATAACAAGGTATGACCGACGATATTCACTAATGGGCTAGGAATTGTACAAAGGCAACCGTACCTCCTAAAAGAAAATTATGATGAGTGACCGACGTATTCTTAGAAGGAAACTACAAAGAGTGACCGACGTACCTCCTAATAGGAAGTTACTACCGACATCTAAACCCAACCTAATAAGGGTTAGGATTAACGAACATTTATAAATAAGAGATCCTTCAACAATGACAAGGGGAAAATACATTCTTAAGAACCCTAAAGTACTCTCGCCACTCTTAAAAGGTAGAGCCACATAATCTAAGAAGAAGCCATAGAGACCATTATCTCGTTGTTGCCAAAGAGCATTGACGAGATATACATCAATACCTCAAAGCATTAACGAAGCCATCACCATGCTACGAAACACCAGTAAAATCATCTTCAATCCATATAGGCATTGATAAAGATCACTGATGGTGCTAAAGGTACCAAGCAACGATCGACCAATGACAACCAACCTAGAACGATCGACAAACGACAAAGAAATCCCTAACAGCTATGTTCTCATCGTCTCCTAACACCAGCGACAGAGAAATTAGCTACGACAATCAACCATAAGTAATCGTACTTTGACAGAGCTTGGTTCTATGTCAACCTTCGATGATCAACGTAAAAAGGTCGAGTTACGATGAACTACGAGGGTCTACCTATGACAAGAAACCTACGAGGGTCGATCTACGAAGAGTGACCTAAGAGGAGCTAGTTACAGGTAGAGATCGTCGATTGTACTAAAGGTACCAAACGACGATCGACCAAAGACAATCACCCTATACCTCGACAAAGCTTGGTTCTAGATCCACCTACGAGGGTCTATCTATGACGAGCGACCTACACAAGGGTTGACCAAAGACAAGCAATAAACACACAAAAACCGTGATAGCTACTGATTCTTCGCCTCTCGACAAGCAGTGACAAATAACCTAGCTACGACGAACTACGATCTACGACGAGCAATAGACGAGATTCTCTTAGTTTAATCTTTGATATTAACATGTTGTAGTTTGATATTCGATTGATTAATAAGATATCTTCTCATACGTCATTCCCTTTGTTGTAGACATAAAAAGAGGAAGAGAAAACATAATGCTCATTAAGGTATTTATCAAATATACTTCCACTAACTCGTATAAAGCAGTCATCTATGAGTAATAACATCTCCAACCCATCTTTATCTATATTATTAAAGGAGAGGCATAAAATAAGGATTCAACCTTACAAAAGAGCCTATCCCTGTTTCCAAACACTCCTAGACCCGGAATTAACACATAAATTAACGAAAAAACCCGACCCCTCTATGAAAAACAACACGCGGATCCTTACAAATCTAACTTAAATCAAACCGGAGAAACACTTCAATATTCGGGTGTCAAAAATCCAAATAACCGGAGGCGAATCAAATAACCGGGTATTAATGACTTGGGTTGGGTTCGTTAGGGAATCAATGAACGTAGGGAATCAATGAACGAAAAATCTGCAAAAGAATTCCAAAAATATCGTTAATTAATTGTGCATTGAATATGCAGAATCAACAATCTATACTATAAAGAGAGGACAACAATCTCTCCATATGACCGACACGTCAGCTTTTCGTTTCTCTTCTCGAATTGCCACGTGTCATCCTCCCATTTATTAAAAAAAAATTAAGAAAACGCATGGAACTCGAACTAAAATCGTTTTGTATTCCCCACATTTCGTTTGGCTCGCGGCCGTGGCGGAAGTAGTAGTAGTAGTGGCGGATGAAGACGACGGAGAGCCTCGCGTTTTCTTGATCGGAAGACCATTGTCGCCGGGGAATTATCAGGATTCACTGCCTAGACGCGATTGTAGATTTGTAGTCATCTTCCGTTGCCCGGACGGCGATGTCGCCAAGATTTGGAAACCAATTCTCCGGGGGAGGATTGTTCGTCGGTATCACGTGAACTACATCTCCGCCGGAATCTCGTCGATGATGATGACTCATAGTGTGAAATCGAAGAAGCCCTAATTTTGTGAACCCAGAAAACTTCTTATTGAATTTCACCCAGAAAAATCATGGAATAGCCGAGAAATTTCGTGAATTCCAGAGATGGGTGATCTCGAGAAACATCAAATGTATCGTTTACCAAATTTTTTTGAGAAACCCAAAAAAAGTACCAAAATGAAAAGCGATAACTGGGAAAAGCGATTACTTCAGAGATAGAGATACCTCTCATGCTTCTGATTTACTCCGGCTATGGCTCTCAACAGGGACGGCAGGGTAGAATTAAGCGTCTCGTTCAGACATCGCTCCTTGGTTTCTCAGAACTGTCGAGAAGACGTCTCTTCATTAATTTGGTTAAACTTGGTTTGGTTCAACTTGGTTGCTTTAATTTGGCTGGTTATGATATTGGGTTTGCCCTGGAAAAACTATAGTAACGTCTCTCTAATATACTTTTCTGTCTGTCAACGCTTAGTCACCCACGCAACGCTCTACACCTTGCATTTAATATGAAAGCCTTGGTTCAAAAAAGAAGAAGAAAAGGATAACTGGAAAATGAATATGCACAAGTAGTATAAATTAGTACTAAGCCACTAAGAAAATTCGTCGTCCAGATTGAAAGATTAGAATTTGAAGAAGATATTTCAAAAAAACAAATTGGCCAAAGGAATAAAAAAAAAACAAACAAGAAAATAAGCTTGGAAGTGTGAATATAATGTGGAAAGAAATAAAACGTGTAGCTGAGTAGCAAACAAATAACTAAATTAGGTAAGTCTGGTGAAAATAAAACGAGATTAAAGACATAGGATTTGAGATACGAAATCATGATTACCTAAACATAAGATATGAAATAAGATCCCATCTTCAAAGTTATGTTACTTGCATATAGTATAGTTTACCTTTTCATGTTGACTTCCCTAAAGTTAAGTGATTCTTGTAGGCTTTTGTGTGAAGCTGAGTGTTCAGAAGAGAGCTTTAGTGGATCATAGTATAATAGTTTATTTGCTTAGACTGACGGAGAAAGAGGGTCGAGTAAGCATCATTCATAAATTTTTCGTCACAAATAATTAATTTTACAAAATACCCACTTCATAAACATTTCAAGTAAATAGTAGAGTAACTATATAAAAATTATATAATTTGATTTAATTAAACTGTCATTGAACGAAACTCATCAAAATCAAGAACTCCATTAACCATCAATATCGGAAAATCTTATCATTGCTTCACACTTTTTGACTCACCCAACTTCGTAAGCATTTTTTCCAAAGCCGTTTAGCGTGATGCAGATTTTGAAAGATAAGAGATAAAATATTGGCAAAATTCAAATGACAATTAAAATATAAATAAGAAAACTTTGTAATAGTCATAATCCGCGCATTGCGCGGGCTTAAGCCTAGTATCACTAACAAAATTGGAAAATTCAAATTTTTGAGTATTTCACGGATAATCTCAACTTAGTTTAAAAATTCGTGCCATTAATTCTTATGTTCAAAGAGATTTGATTAGATACTCTTATATTATATTTTCCTAAATTTCGGAAACTACCAAGTTTAAGCTTTCATCAAATCAAATCTTTAACCTAATCGTTTTAGTATAAATAGACCTCCCTCTAGAGCCTACCAAAAACAAAAAGAAGCAGAGCATAAAACTATCTTTGATTCAATTTTAATGGCGGCTTATTTTTGTTTAACATACCTTGATGCCTTTTTTTTTCAGGTGGACGAGTCCATACACGAATCCAAGTCAAGCTTCTTCATGTTTGGAAGCAATACACGGCAGAGGCTGGACATACATTGGAGATGATTCTGACAGACAAAAATGTAAGATTAGGTTATAAGAATCTAAAGTCAAACATGCTTAATCTCTTTATAAACTATATTATGTTAAAGATGGTTATTGTGTGCTCCAAACTACAACTAACAATGTGTTTTTGTTTTTTTTGTTTGATTGTGACTAGAATCTGATGAGTAGCTGAATTGGCATGATTGTCACGATGCAAGGTTTGTAAATTTTTAATCACCATTGACCCTTGAATACTTCAATATACTAATATTTATTAGATGCTAATCCTTCTCTTAATGTTGAGAATCCAAGTTAATTGTCTTCATTCTTGAAAGAAATTAAAGTGTGGGTCAGGTACAACATTGGAGATAAACGTCATCATTTGTGGGTTAATACATGCTTACAATTTCTAATATAGGATCAAGTATGTTTTGTAGGCTATGAAAATATATGCTTCATGTAACAACACATATCTTAATTTCCTGTTGGCGAGTGGGCATCGAGACGATACAGACCAACTCACCATGTTAACAAGATACCGTTGTGTCTGATTTAAATTTCACAATAAGAAACGTAACACATGGCGAAGGCAAATGAAAAGAGAAACAAACGAAGACTGCATAATAGAAAAATAGCATAATGACTCATGATTAATGATAATGAACAAAGAGGGAATTTTCATCCTACTAAGTACTAAGATATCGAGAAATTCTCAGACCAAAATAGTTTAGCAAAAGAACATATGAGAAAATCAGTACTATTAAAAACGAAACACTTAAGACACATCGAGATCATTGTTATAAGAGGAAAATTTCTCTCCATAAGCATCATCAGGCTCAATACCGAAGACATCAAACATCAAGATTTAAGAAATAGCCAAGTATGAAGTAACAAAGAAAAAAAAAACAGAAAGATGAAGAAAAGCTGAAATAGCGCAAGCAGCAAATAAATAAAAAAATCAAACTCGCATATTAAAGTTCGATAACAAGAATCTATCACACAAACAAACACAGAAAAATCATTTTCAGAAAAGACAAAGAAAATGGTTTTTTATTTTCAAAGCATCAATCACATTACGAGCACATAAATAGCTAACTAAAAACTACAATCAGTGAGAGATAAACACACACCAACAATCTAAACCATCTTAACTAGGGATAAATAAATCAATGCATAGCCAAATTTATAACATACCTTTCTCTCCATGAGAAGAATCAGAGGTTGCGCTACATGGTGCGAAACCCAGACGAATCATGACTCTATTGCCGAGGTCCTTGGCAACATAAGGTACCTCCGACGGAGAAGAAACTGAGAGCCGCCTGTTGCTCAAACCAGACCTGCAATTCCTGTTTCAAAAGACAAAAATTAGAAGCGGAATCGACAAGAAACTAAAGGTTGTTTCGGAAGATAGATTGAGAATGAGGTTAAGGCAACTACCTCAATTTTTCCCAAAGCCTGGGGAGTCCCATTTCGAGCTTCGCCGGAAGCTAAGAAGAAACATAAACAGGGTATGAGTTCTCTGATTTCGCATGCAAGGAGCAATCGAAAGATTGCTTCGGGAAAAGGAAATGGCTGCATTGGCTGGAGGTCGGAGTCGCAAGGGCCAAGGCTGCTGGAGATAGATCCGCTTATGATTTCTCCCTCAGCTCATGCACAATACACAAAACACAATCACATGAGCCAATAAAAAAACCCAGTAAACCCATTTCAACCAATCCGCAAATCCACTGAAACCCATTTCAACAAAATTGCAAAATCTTAAATCAACTGAAAACTCACTTGATTGCCGAGCTTCACCGAGAAGAGAGAAGAGCTTAAGAATCGACGGTGGTGGAGAGAAGTGTAAGAATCGACGGTGGTGGGGAGGAGAGAAGACGGTGGTGGAGAGGAGTGAAGACGGTGAGTTGAAGCTATATCTGATTTTTCACCGATGGAAAAGAAAACTCGAGGAAGAAGAAACTAAACGGTGTCGTTTTAGCATAGGAAGAAGAAACTAAACGGTGTCGTTTTAGCATAAAGAAAGAACAGGAGTGATAATGGTCAAAATTTGTTTTTTTTGGCTTTGACATGTCTCATATGAGAAAAAAAAGATGGATCCATTAAAAATTTGTGATCTTGACTTTAACATGTCTTATGAACAAATTTACAAATGAAGAAAAAAAAAAATGGATCTACAAACAAGAGTATCATTTTCTTGACCTAAATTACCAATTTTTCTTTTTCAAAAATGAGCTTTACACTAACAAAAAAAAATAATGCCATGGAGACGATTTAGACTCTTTAATAAAAAAATGTCAAAACAATATAATCTTAGAAATCTAATATTCACAAATTTAACTAACTCAAAGGTTAGTAACATCACGGGTTAGCGCAACATTCTTTTAGATCTCTTTTCGGAAAAACATAAAGAAAGAACATGACCGATAAAGGTAAAAATTTGTAATATTGACTTTAATATATGTCTCATAGACAAATTTATAAATGAAAGGAAAGAAGTAAATATTGGATTTACAAACAAAAATTTATATGATATCAAATTGAGAATATATTATTTTAAGTGGTCAAGGAGACTTACTAGACTTATTATAAGTTTTTTTTCTTTTTTTTTTCATTTTAATTGTACAGAACTACATATTAAATTATTTGATGAAAAATTATTGTTTATTAATGAAACAGCTGATTCGATGGATTCGCCAAATTAATTTCATATCAAAAGACTAGATATCGAATCGAATTGGGATTTGATTTCTCTCATTCCCCCAAGTTGTGCGACTTTTCGTCTTGCGCAAGATGTTAAACAAACGGTGTGGATGCCACAAATGCTGATGTTAATTTTATGGATAGAAAACATGCGAAATGAACTTATCCGTTTTAGGGCCATACTCGAGAAGAATTATTACAACCAAATATTTACCACTTATTTTATCACTTTTCGTCTTATTATTGATTCAATCATTTATTGAATCCTAAACTAAAATTAACACCGAATAACTGTGTAACTCAAAAAACTAAAATCTTCAAAAATTATAACATCTTGTGCTTCTCAAGCCAATTTTTTTTTTTATAACCGTGGGTGATCCAAAGGCTTTCTAGGCCCAAGACTAATCCCACGAGGCCCACGGCAGTCCACGTTTTCTTACCATTTAAAGCAGCCCGGGTGGCCGGGGACTCGAACTCGTGATGGCGGGCACCTCAGCTGAGGCTCCATTACCACCAGACCACGAGGACCCGGTTTTCTCAAGCCAATTATTAAATTAATTATGTAAATAAACTCAACAGAAATTGCAACAACCCGTGCTTCCGAAGCACGGATCAGGATCTAGTTTCTTCTTTTATAATAAAGGATTTGGAGAAATAGAGGTGAAATTCTCTCTAACCCACCTTTATTTTTAACTTAAAAACAAAAATCTCTATTTTTCCCTTTATATTTCTACTTATTCCTAAGAAATAGAATTTTACATAGGAGATGGTCTAAGATGTGAAAATGGTTCACATACTTCACATCAGGGCACTGATGAAAAAAGACAACATCTCCAAGCCGAACACTTTGGTTCATCATAGCAAACATAGTTCAACCAATGAGACAATATAGAAGCTGCTGTAAAATCGGAAACTGCTCCATAATTTGTCCACCATGTGAATCTCTAATTCTATAATAACCATGCCAATCTGAAATATGAAAAATCGAACCCATTTAAATAAAGAGTGATGGCTTGCATATAAGAAAATTGAAAAGCTATATTCTCAAGCTTCGTGCTCCAAAAAAAAAGTTCTTAGCTGGATACGAAGATAGAGTGATGGCTTGCATATAAGAAAATTTAGGTTAAAGAAATCATTATTTAAAGGCATTAACGCGAAGAATTCAATGAACTATAATTTCTAGACACGCTTATTTACAGAGCTAGTTTTGCAACTTTTTATCAGCCAAATTCTGAATACAAATATTAAAAACAAAAAAACAAAAAAATCTAACACACTCACTCGATTATTGACAGTTAAAAAGATACCAACTGTTGATTATAATCGAGTTTGGTCCTTACATAGTTGTCTATCAATATACTATGATAGTTTGGATGTCTTATGATAGTCAAATATATATACCAAGATACCTGGCTATTTATATAAAAATAGTTGTCTATCTATGTTAGAATATGTGTGTGTCTTATAAAGTCGCAATTCTTTGTTTAGGTTGTGTCACTACCACCGAGCTAATAGCCTGTTGTGCGGGCCTCCTGCTGGGGGCAGATCAACAGTGTTTTGTTTTAGTATAATGTTCGGTGAACAGTCGCCAGCGATAGTCGCTGCGACCAAAAATATACACACAAAGAAGCATTAGGACGCTGCTGTTCTTTAAAAATTGGTAGTCGCCCGTGGAGTCGCAAGCTCTGTAACAGTCGCTTAACGATTTCAGCGACACTTTCCTCCCTCTTGCGACCCCTTTTCTCTCTCCGCGACTCCTCATCATCATCATTTTTAATCAATCGCAGCGACTGTTGAAATATTGTGTTTAGAAACAGAGTAAGAAGAGAAGAGACAAAAACAGAGTAAGAGATAGAGTTTATCTCTTTTCTTTCGTGAAGAAGAATTGACGAGGAATTGGTTTTATTATTCTGAAACTTGATTTGTTACATCATGTTATAATGGGTTATATAATAATACAAAACACAACGAACAGTTGCGACTCTCTCCTACTTGTGTGTGACACAAAACCGCTCGTGTAACACAACCTAAACTTAGACACTTAATACAAAACTCAATTAAATCCAACAGCGACTACCGGTCTACCGCTGGCGACTGTTCACCGAACATGGCCTATATAACACACTGTAACACACACAAAAATCAAAGTTTCAGATCAATAAAAATGTATATTTGGTTCTTCTTGTCTTCTTCAAAAGAGAAGAGATAATCATTTGATCTCTTACTCTGTTTCTCCATTCTTTCTTACCCTGTTTGGAAATCATTATTCTAACACCAACAAACCAACGCCAATTTTTTTAATTCACATCACACCCAAAATACAAACGGTTAAGAAAAGAGGATTCTTTCAAAATTTAAAGGGAGTTTCAAAAACTGCAGATGTATATATATTATTAAACTAGAAAAGCCTCCTCCTGAACTTTCTAGTACGTAGTTGATTAATAAGTACGCACGAGAAGACCCATACGGCCACACCAATATCCCAAGACCAACACATACACGTGTCCAGTCCCAACACCAACCTGTGTTACACATGACATATCTCCATCAATGCATTCACTTCTCCATTACATGTCTCCTTCGTATTGTTCTTTGTAATCCACTTATTCAGTTGCCTACAGGCTACAGAAAAATAATGTTACTTAAGGACACCAACTACACAAAGAATGATACTTTCAAGGATCAGCTTTGCCAAGGACTTCTCATACAGGCTTCTATGCAGTAACTCCCACTACATGTTTACTATAAGACTCCATTTCCATCCTACCAGTAATAGTAAATGCATGATATAAAGGAAACACACTCTTTTGGTTTTTGCTTATATCATAGCGTAGCAGACTCAGCAGAAGAATCGTTGATGATGAACAAATACTGTTCCAGTTTCAAAGTTTATTTTCTGGTTCAATCCCTCATATAGGTTGGGTCATAGTTTGTGAGACATTTATACAAATAATAAAGATTGAGTTTTGTGTTGTGAGATGGTCCTGTTACCTCTGTGTATGATAAGTTCATAAGACAACATTGCACTGGGTTATAGCTTGTGCAGGATAAGATGAGCACCGAACTGTGGGTGAAGGGTGATGACTGAGTAAGGCGCATGAACATAAGAAGGAGAGAGCTCAAAGGAGAACCTCTGTAGAATCACTGACATTGCCATCTTAGCCTCTAGCATGGCAAAGTTCTGACCAATGCAGATCCTTGGTCCCCACGCAAAGGGAAAGAAAGAGACTTGGTTCTTTGTTGCCTTTGACACACCGTCTTTGAACCTCTCCGGCTTGAATTCCGCTGCATCGTTGCCCCACAACTCAGTGTCGCGTTGCACTAGCAGAATAGGTAGATTGATTTGAACACCGCCTGGTAGCGTCAGGTCGCCAAGCTTCATCTCTTTGTGAATGGCTCTGGTCAGCTGAGCTAGTGGAGGATATAGCCTAAGAACCTCATATAGTATCATCGTCATCTGTGAGAGTAGAAAATCTTGTTAGCAAAAAATCAACAGAACACAAAGCAAGGACTGAAGAAGTCACCTAAAGGTTTTTGATTTGGTTTTCACTTACAACTTTGAGCTGGTTTAGGCCTTCTGTGTCAGGTTCTCTATCGCCAAAAACTTGCTTCACTTCTTCTCGAGCTTGAGTTTGCCAGTCTTGGTGTTGGCTTAACAGAACCATTGTCCAATTCAGAAGCACAGAAGTTGTTTCTTGCCCGGCGAAATAAAACAACTTGCACTCCTCCATCACATCCTCAGTGCTCATTCCTTTTCCTTTACCTTGAACCATATTCGACTCAAGAAGTATACCCAGTAGATCATCGCTTGGTGCTTCCCCGGCTTCTCTCGCCCTTAACCTTTTGCTAACGATCCCTCTCAGTATATCTTGTATTTCTCTGGCTGCTGCTTTTATCCTTCTATTACCCTTCGTTGGGAGATAACTAGGCAAAAAAAAAAAAACACAGGGAATATTCACGTGTCCATAGATAGATTGCAGCACTTAAAAAACAAAGAAGTTGAGGTTTCTTCTTACATATATCCAGGGATGAAAGCTTTCAGAAAAGCTTGTATAATGAGATGTGCTAGTTCCGCTTGGAGCTCAAATATCCTCTGCCCTTCTTTGTAACTGCTTCCAAAAGCAGTACGAGAGATCACATCTGCCGTCATACTCACCAGCCCAGGCCAAACGTCCACCTCACAGGACGACCCTTTTTCCGACACTAACTTGTCCCATTGGCCAACAACCTCGCTGCAACTCTGGTGAAACGCAGGTACCATATTCTATAGATAGAGGCAGAAGACAGAGAGTTAAATGAATATACATACATTATATAACTTGGTTCAAAATAAGAAGCCTAGAACCTTAATCTTCTCAAGATGGAAAGCCGGGTTGATGATTCTTCTGTGTTTTGCCCATTTATCACCATCATAAGTAGCGAGTCCTTGGGCTATCACGGTGCCCAAAGGAAATGTGTGCGGTTTCTGGAAATCATAAACTTTGCTGAACACTTCCTTGATTTGGTCAGGATCCATTATGTTGATGACTGGTGTAGTTCCAAGCCATGTAAAGAAAGTCTTTCCTGTTTTAGCAATATACAGATACAAAACTTAAGACCTTTCCTTGATCAGATACTCTGCACAAGCTTCAACATACCGTGACTCTTGAGCATTTCCAAGGGAAAGGGCAAGACACGTGATGTGATATCATCCGTTAGTTTGATGTGTTTGGATCTTGCCTCCATCATCATACTGTAATTCATCTTCAAATCGCCTACGAGAGGCGTGTAAGGAGTTCCGGAAAGACCCTGTCTTCTCAGGTAACTCTCAAGCATCTTTGGTTTAAACCAAACCCACTTCAAAGTTCTCCCTACCCACCACGAAACAACAGCTATAGCTACTGAAACTGTTACTAACGTAGCTGATATCTCCATTATTTCAGAGAGAGAGAGAGAGAGAGAGAAGATGGATAATATGCTAACATTCTCGGGATTTTAAACCCCATAACTTGGAGAAGATATGGATATGGTGATGACATCACCCCTGATGTCTTAAAATACTGACAGGCCCATTGATATTTTAGAGCCTTATTTTATTTAGTCACTTATTTTATTGGTCACACAAAGGCGCCAGAGGCAAACTTGGATTTTTGTAGTAACTTGCGTGGTGGGCAAGGCGGCGCGAACGTTGTCAGTTTTCTGACGTGTCTCTGTCGCATTGAAGCAATGAAAAAGATAATAATTATAATAATCTGCGAATAAAAAGAACTCTATCGCAAGCAATGAAACTTCGTCTCTTGTCACGATGCCACGAAGACAGAGGAAATCGTTTGGCCATAACTCGTGTGGATGGAAAGGAACGGCATGAAGCAACTTTTTTACTTTTCCTCGGCATTCAATCAATATTTAAGAGTGAGATTGCAACAGAGCTCTGAAGGATTGAATTTTTACTGCTATCCAGGAATGTAATCAATTCTTCACAATAGCTTGTGGTATGACTAATGAGCTAAACTAGTTCCACTAGACCTAGAAATATCAAATAACCTTTGTCATGGTTATGGCTGCCTGGTAGTTTAGTTCTAATCCATGTGAACAAAAGTCTAGGATCTTAGATTCTTAGGTTTAAGCTAAACCCACCTCAGAGTTCTCCATATCTACCACATATAGCTACCAATGCAACTGCTATCTCTGCGAGTGATAACGTTCTTGGTCTCTAAAGATGAGAAATCTTCAGAATTAAAGCTTATTTAACAAGCAACCAAATTAAAGCTTCAGAATTTTAGAGAAGAAACCCATGTGGGCTTTTATATTGATAGATTTTGTACTTTTCGGCCAAAAACATAGTTTTGTAAGCTATTTTGGGGGTAAGAACCAACATTATTTCCCTTGTGTATAACAAGTTCATCATAGCTTGTGCATGATAAGATGAGCACCAAAATGTGGATGAATAGTGATGACGGTGTAAGGCGCATGCACATAAGAAGGAGAAAGCTCAAAGAAGAATCTCCGTAGAATCAAAGCCAGAGCCATCTTCGCCTCCAACAGAGCAAAATTCTGACCAATGCAGGTCCTCGGTCCCCACCCGAAAGGCAGGAAACAGACCTGGTTCTTTGTTGCCTTTGAGACCCCATCTTTGAACCTCTCCGGCTTGAACTCCGCTGCGTCGTCGCCCCAAAGCTTAGTGTCACGATGGATTAGCAGAACAGGCATGTTGATTTGAACACCGCCTGGTACTGTCAGGTCGCCTAGTTTTATCTCTTTATGGACCGCTCTGTTCATTTGGAGGAGAGGAGGATATAACCTAAGGACCTCATATAGTATCATCGTCATCTGTAGCATTAGGATTCATACACCAAAATCATCAAATTTTCACATAGAACACTTATAATTGTTTTGTATCACTTTTTGAAGTAGTTGGTTTTATTATACCTACGCAAAAAAAGGCATATAAAAGAAAGCATCAACTTGAAAAGGTTTAATATATACTTACAACTTTGAGTTGGTTAATGCCTTGTAGGTTCGGTTCTCTATCACCAAAAACTTGCAACACTTCCTCTCGTGCTCGAGCTTGCCAGTCTTGGTGTTGGCTTAACAAAACCAATGTCCAAGCCAAAAGTACTGAAGTGGTCTCTTGTCCCGCGAAATAAAACAGCTTGCACTCTTCCATGATTTCTTCAGTAGTCAGTCCATTTCCTTTAGTTTGCCCTGAATTTGATTCAAGAAGTAGATCCAACAAATCGTCACTTGGTGCTTCTCCAGCGTCTCTCGCCGTTTCCCTTTTGCTAATGATCCCTTTTAGTATAACTTGGATTTCTCTAACTATTGCCTTCATCCTTCTATTATTCTTTGTTGGGAAATGCCTGCGCATACAACAAAAAATATTTTTTTTTTCACAATTCCACATGAATAGCAAAAAAAAAAAAAAAAAATGTCTCATCCATGAACTCTCATTGTCCATTGATTTAGAATCAAAACTCGTCAAATTTTTGATATTATTAGAATCAGGATATTGATTGATTCTAAAAATGAGACAGAGTCCAAAGATGAAACTAATATATTAGATACTTTCAGTCTTTCACTTTGAAAATAAATAATTAGTATTCTCTCTGTTTTGTTAAAGAATCATTTCAAGCAAGCAAAACATAGAAATTTCTACCTAATTAATGAGCTGAAATAATATGAAATAAATTTGAGAGTCAATCTAATTTTTTCCACCAAATATCAAAATACAAAACGATATTTCTGTGGAAGTAAAACAAAGTCTTAAAATGACATCTATTACGAAATGGAGAGAGTAATCAAGTATAATGGAAGCAACAAAACTCTGGCAAGCCATGATAGTATTAAAAAAACAAGTCAAGTTTCTTGATTACCGATATCCGGGGATGTAACTCTTTGCAAGAGCTTGTATGATGAGTTTTGCTAGTTCCTCTTGTAGTAAAAATATCCTGTGTCCTTCTTTGTAGCTGCTACCAAAAGCGGTACGAGAGATCACATCCCCCGTCAAATTCACAATCCACGGCCAAACATCAACCTCACAGGACGACCCTTTATCTGACACTAACTTCTCCCATTGGCACACAACCTCGCAGCAACTTATATGAAATGTAGAGACCATATTCTATACAGAGAATCATAATAAAAAATCAGCCGAAATAATATTTTAACATGGTTATGTGACAACTACTAAAAATGCGAATCTAAAACCTTGATCTTCTCAAAATGGAATGCGGGGTTGATGATCTTGCGGTGCTTCGCCCATTTATCTCCATCAGCATTAGCGAGTCCATCAGTTATCAGTGCAACCAAAGGAAACGTGTGCGTCTTCGGGAAATCATAAACCTTGTTATACACTTCTTTAATCAGCTGTGGATTCATTATTGTGATGGATGGTATGGGTCCTAACCATGTGAAAAACGTATTCCCTGTTGCAGCCACATACGCATACATGTTTATTAGTATAGAACCGATTTGTAAAGAAATTAAAAAAAAATTATAAGCCAAATTAACCAGAAAATAATATCTATACCGTAAGTGTTGAGCATGTGAGATGAGTAAGGCATGACAAGTGAAATGAGATCATCCGTTGGTTTCATCGGTTTGGATCTTGCTTCCTTCAACATGCTAAAAGTCCTTCTCACATCTCCGACCAGAGGCGTGTAACGAGTTCCGACAAGACCTTGTTTTCTCAGAAAACTCTCAAGCATCTTAGGTTTGAGCCAAACCCACTCCACAATTCTCCATATCCACCACAACACAACAACTATTGCCAATGATGCAAATGATGATATCTCCATTTGTGATTTTTTTCCTTCTTCGGTTTCTTAGAGTTTGTGAATTTTGATGAAGAAATGCATGTGTGGCGATATGTCTTTAATACTTGTAGAATTTTTGTTTGGGACAATACAATTTATTTCTTGTAACCGTCGAACTTTTTGCCTTTATTCGGAACCTCACGACCTGTGGCCACATCTGTCTTCCATGCCTTAAGTCTTTTTTTTTCCTTTTTTGGTACGATATTAACTTCTACCACCTTTGCCATTATTGCTTTATATTTTTGTATTTACTTGAAATACATTACCTGATACGATATTTATGACTTACCTCTCTCTCTCTCTCTCTATCCAAAGAGAGATATTAGGAAATATAGTTTAAAAAAAAAACCATCCAGTCACATGCATGTACATAAGAAGAAATACATTAAAGAAGTCAAAACCAGAAAAATTGAAATACATTAACTATGGAAATGTTTTTTTTGGTAACTAAATATTTAATGGAAATGTTGACCAAAAATAGATAACACTTCCTTTCTTACATCCAATTATAATAACACTTTCATGCATGTAAATAATTGATGCATGTATATGTATTTGGTGAATTAATTGATAATTGAAGTGCGTCTGTGACCAGAAAATAAAAAAATATCAATCTCAAAATATCTAATACACCTGGGGCATGAGTTATATGGTGAGAGTTTCTCAGAAGAGTTTTTCTTTTTCTTTTTTTGTTGTAAACCACTTTGATTCGATATAAGTTTTTGCAAGGACGACAATGTCACTGTTTGTGGTCGACATCTTGAATGGCTTCTGATTGGTGACAGAGTGAAAAGCAATAATCTGTCATGTATTTTTCTCTTCAGAAGGTGGTCACTTGTCCAGAAGTCAAGACGAATAGTCTAAACTTATCCACAATTATTGTCTTTGTACTTGAATAATTTCAATCAGGTAAGGTGAAATGATCAAGCCTTTTGTTACTATTGAGTGACTTCTGGCCCCAAAATATCTTATATTTCGGAAAAGCCAAAAAGGGAATAAAAATGTATTCACACTTTGATAGTGCTTGAGAAGCATCTTATAACGAGAAAGGCTTCTAGAAAAAACGAGAAGCTAGACAGCGTTTCTCGGAATCGTTCACGTGCTATCGGAAGTGGTGGTAGAACCGGACATGGAAGGAGTTGAAGCTGGATGATCCAAATAGTACATGGGATGCAAAAGTGACATACACAGCCCAAACAAGAACTATATTTCGAGTGTGTATATCTTTAGTAATAAAAGGTATCTATAAACGCATGATCTCTTGTCTTTTGCCACAGAGATATAAAATTTACATACATACACAGAGTTACATACTTTATCTGATTTTTGAGGCACACTCATTTTGAAAGGTCCCTAGTACACCTAATAGAGCTACCGTTTTTTTCCCTTGTTGTTGTTAAATTGCGTATTACATATTCTTTATGGGCGAAGAATTATACAGAACTCTCAAGAACTCATCCTTATTATTTGGGTATTAAATGCTACTGAATCTTGAATCTTGATACAAAGAAACAAACAAAACAGAGGATCTTGGAAACTTATTAGTGTACTGATCTCAAAGCATGTGGAAGATCAATGGAGCACCAAACTGAGGATGAAGTGTAAGAACCGTGTGAGGTGCGTGAGTGTACGATGGAGACAGCTCGAAGGAGAATCTCTGGAGGATCAAGGCAAGAGCCATCTTGGCTTCCATGAGAGCGAAATTCTGGCCAGGACAGAATCTTGGTCCCCATCCAAAAGGAAGAAACGAAACTTGGTTCTTGGTGGCTTTTGAGATCCCATCTGCGAATCTCTCTGGTTTAAACTCATGCGCATCTTCTCCCCATAGCTCGGGGTCACGATGGACCATAAGAACAGGAATCACTACTTGTGCACCACCTGGAAGTGTCATGTCCTCACCTAGCTCCGTTTCTTTCTCTATGACACGACCAAGTAGAATCCCTGGTGGGTATAACCTCAACACCTCGTTCAAGATCATGCTCATCTGTAAAAAGAAAGATCACGAGGAACAAACTTTTAGTCTATAACTTTGGTTCTTGATTTGAAAATCCTCTGGTTATCAAGAAAAAAGTAATACAAGATTAATATATTTACTGTTTTGAGTCGAGAGAGTGCATCAAAGTTAGGTTTGTTGTTCTTGCCAATGACTTGTAAGACCTCTTCTCTAGCTTGATCTTGCCATTCCTGGTGATGGCTCAGCATAATCATACTCCACACGAGCAGCTCCGCTGTGGTTTCTTGGCCGGCGAAATGAAACAGCCTGCACTCTTCTACCACATCTTCGACACTCATCCCATGATCTCCGGAATTCGATTCCAAAAGTATTCCCAACAAATCATTCTTTGGAGCCTCCCCTGCTTCCATAGCCCTTTGTCTTTTCTTGATGATCTCTTTAAGTCTAGACTTCACTTCTTTGTCTATCTTCTTCATCCTCATGTTGTTCTTTGTCGGTAGAAACCTAGACAAAACGAAAATTAAGAACATGTCATACATCTTTACATATTTCTTAAGCAAAAGTAACATAAATAAAAGGTTCATTTACCTCATTCCAGGAATGAAAGCCATCTCAAGAGCTTTTAAAACTCGCCGGCCTTGCTCTTCTTGAAGCTCAAAGATTTTCTTGCCTTCCTCATAGCTACTCCCAAACGCAGTACGCGAGATTACATCTGAGGTTACATCACCAAGGTATGGCCATACATCAATCTCATTTGATGATCCTTGATCTTTCACCAACCTCTCCCATTTACTTATCATCTCGCTGCAGCTCTCGTAGAACGCAGGTATCATAATCTACAAAATAAACAACAATAAAAATGGCATTGGATTTACATAACAAAAGTAAAACCATGAGAACTGAAGTAAGAAAAGGACCTTGAGCTTTTCTAGATGAAAAGAAGGGTTTATGATCTTCCTGTGCTTAGACCATTTCTCTCCTCCATACACAGCGACTCCAGTCGCAAAAAGCTCAACGATTGGGTGCAATGGCGGCTTCGGGAAATCATTAACTCTGTTTAGAACTTCTTTAATGTGTTCTGGTTTCGTCACAATCACACTCGCTGTAGGTCCCATCCACATGTATGATGTCTTCCCTAAACAAACACCAAACCATAGAAACAGAGGATTTCAACACTAACCAAGTAACCAACCCTGTCAGAAAAACAGAGGATCTCTGTTTTTGAGTTCAAATCAAACCATTCCTTACCATGATCCTTAACGGTCTCTAATATCAGAGGCATGACACGTGGCGTGTAATCGTCGGTTAGACTGATGGGGCTGGATTTTGCTTGCTCCACCATACTGGCTTCCCTTTTAGCGTCTCCGACAAGAAAGGTGAAAGGAGTCCCAGAGAGACCTTGTCTCTTTAGATAAACCTCTTGTTTCTTTGGTCTAAGACAAGCAAGACTCAGGCCTTTCCATATCAACACCGCAACCGCAGTCACAACCACAACCGCAGCCGCAACTGCTACCGCTGATGACTCTGTCTCACTCATAACCACACTTCTTTTAGAAATCGTTATATCTTTGTAAGTTGCCAGATGAAAATGATATGTGTTATATATAGAAAAAACTGTTGTTAATTTGCGTGCGCTTCAAGTTAATGAAGTATGAGGCAGAAGAAAATTCAACCCGAGTGTTCTAGATTTCCTTTATCCATAACACATTTTTTTATGTCTTTTAATATTCTGGTTTTGTTTCTCTATGGGGACTATGAGAGTGACTCAACGACTGGTTTTTCTAAGACACATCCAAAAGATGGTAGAATTGAAATTGGCTTCGTATTACTAGACTTTTCATAGATTAATAATGCAGCCACTATGCGAAAACGACCTTAGACTTGACTGAAGCAGACCTTTACCTTTCAAACATAAAAATTGAAATCTCCAAAACCTATGACTATAATAATTCTTTATAAGATATGTTACTGTTACATAACAGACACTTTTGATGACACATCAAATCAGAGCTTGTGCAGTAGGAGATGAGCTCCGAACTGAGGACGAGTGGTCATGACTGTTTGAGGAGCGTGGACATAAGAAGGAGAGAGCTCGAAGGAGAATCTCTGTAGAATCAATGCCATTGCCATCTTTGCCTCCAACATAGCAAAACTCTGACCAATGCAGATCCTTGGTCCCCATCCGAAGGGGAAGAAGGAGACCTGGTTCTTTGTTGCCTTTGAGAGCCCGTCTCTGAACCTCTCAGGCTTAAACTCCGCTGCATCATCACCCCAAAGGTCAGGGTCGCGATGGACAAGAGCGGTTGGTATATAAACGTGAACTCCAGCTGGAAGTGTAAGCTCTCCAAGCTTCATCTCCTTGTTGACAGCTCTTTTAAGCTGAGCCACTGGAGGGTATAGCCTCAAAACCTCATAGAATATCATAGTCATCTGTTGAAACAATGAAGATGCAAAGTGAATCTCGTTACTACGAATGCATGTTGAAAGTTTCAGGCTTTTTTAAAAAAAACTTACGACTTTGAGGTTGCTAAGAGACTCTATATCAGGTTTAGTTTCATCATCATCACCGAGTATTTGCCTCACTTCCTCTCGCGCACGAGCTTGCCAGTCTTGGTGATGGCTTAACAAAACCATCGTCCACACCAAAAGCACTGAAGTTGTCTCTTGCCCTGCGAAATAAAACAGCTTGCACTCTTTCATCACTTCTTCAACGCTGATTCCATTCCCTTGAGACTCCTCTGAATTCGACTGCAGCAATATCCCCAGCAGATCATCATTTGCTGCTTCTCCAGCTTCTCTCGCTCTCTCCCGTTTGCTCACAATACCTCTCAGTATTACATCAATCTCTCTGTCTATAGCTTTCATCCTTCTATTGCTCTTTGTTGGGTAAAACCTACACACAAACACCAAACTCTCTCTAAACTCTCGACAAAGACAAAGACAAAAAGGTAGTTTATTTACCTGTAACCAGGGATGTACGATTTCTTAAAAGCTTGTGCAATGAGCTCAGCTAACTCCCCTTGGAGCTGAAAGATCCTCTGCCCTTCTTTATAGCTGCTTCCAAAAGCAGTATGCGAGATCACATCCGCGGTCATATTCACAAGCCAAGGCCAAACATCCACTTCAAGAGACGATTTTTTATCAGTAAACAGCCTCTCCCATTGGCATACAACCCCGCTGCAACAGTGGTAGAACGCAGGGACCATGTTCTTGTAAACCAACAAAAACAGGTTAGCTAAAGGATCACACACATATACTGAAGACGAGAGAGAAAAAGGCGAAACCTTTATCTTTTCGAGGTGAAAAGCAGGATTGATGATCCTTCTGTGATTTGCCCATTTGTCTCCTTTATAGCTTGCGAGCCCTCCTGCTAACAATCTGAACAAAGGGAATGTAGCAGCTTTCTCAAAGTCGTAAACTTTGTTAAAGACTTCCTTGATCTGCTCTGGTTTCGTTATCATGATCGCTGGAGTTGGTCCAATCCATATGTAGAAAGTCTTTCCTTTTATTCCACCAACGTAACAGAGAGATCAAAGTCAAACTAAATTCTAACACAATAGTCAAAAGGGGCAGTCTTTAAATCAAGAACATCTATGAGAGAGACAATACCGTGAGAATTGAACATGTTCAAGGCGAGAGGAAGGAGACGTGGTGTGATATCATCCGTTAGATTGATGGGTTTAGATCTCGCCTCCATCATCATACTAACATTCCTCTTAATATCTCCGACGAGAGGCGTGTAAGGAGTTCCGGCGAGACCCTGTCTTCTCAGGTAACTTTCAAGCATCTTTGGTTTCATCCAGACCCATTTCACGATCCGCCATGTCCACAGCGACGCAACTGTTACAACCACCACCAAAGCTGCTACTACTGAAAAAGACATCTTCGGATTCTTCTCTCACTCACTCTTGATGCCGAAAGATGAGACCTTTTTGCTTGTTTTTCCTTTTTTTTGGGTCAAAGTTGAGACTTTTTTGCTATCACTGGACTCTCGATTGAACAATTAACAGTGCAGCAGATCCTTTGCCGCCAAAGGGGCATTGTCTGTGCTTGTCTTGTAATGGTTTTCATCTGTTCTTATCTAATTGCAAGTTTTTTAATCAATTAATCTTCCAAAAAGGGATCCACTATGCATTATAATATGAAGAGAAGTGCTCCTCAACACTTTAGCAGGTGAGCTCCACGTAGATGATGTGTTGCACGTTAAAGTGATACGTTTGAGTATAAATTGATTTGATTTTTTGATAACGTACACTACAGATAACTCTCCAACAAATCCCTTTCCTAAAAATTGAAACTTTATGCAAATTAATTTCTTGAAGCAGCAAGACTTTCAAAATTGATGAAAATTGTCAGAGACAACTGAAATATCATATCATATCTAGAAAATAAAACATCAAAAGATACAAACTTTAAAACTCCAAAAGATGATAAAGCTCCAAAATGGTTTTTTTGTTTAAACTGAGAAACAAGAACCCTAATCAGATGGTTGAAAAGGATGAGGAGAATCATGTAGATCGGTTTTACATGAAGAGGTTGGGCTTCGACGCCTTGAAAGTAGTCTTGAGCTTCCTGGTTGGTGGCCTGACCTTCCTGAAAACAAGAGGGAACTTGATCTTCGAGTTATGGAACTGCTTGGTGCTCTCTCTCTTGCACAGCTTCGCAGGGACTGTTGCAGTCTTGATGATCTGAATGCAAGGGAACCTCACTCTGTGGCGTGAAGCCATCTCTGTGTACATCTGCTCCACCGCACCGTTGAGCGTCGTGTCACGGAACTCCTTGTACATGTTGTGGTACCCAGTTCTGCTCTGGTAACGAAGCCAGATACCGAAGTTCTTGATGGTCGTTGGGTTCTTCTCAAAGATCTAACAAGAACAGAACAGCAAAATCATTTACACAATGAACCGAAACAAAGCAAACAATGGCTAACAACAAGTACTAATCTTTAAGCAAAATGCAATCTGTACCTCATTGATGGCAAGCATTTGTCCGTTGCTTTTCTTGACCTTCTTCAGTTTCCTCAGGAAGTACCTAGATACAAAGCAAACGCATATAAACATCAGAGAGTTCATAAACTAGACGCCATTAACAAACTAAGTCGCAGCAAACAGGGTACAATGAATAGACTCACCAAAACTTGGACTTGGCACGAACTTCGTTAGTGGCCCAAAGCTTCATCCGATAGATCTTAGGATGCTCATCTTTTTCTGTCGGGAGAGCTCTCCCAACCACTTGGTACTGGTGAAACTGCACAAGGAAGAACAAAATTTACATTTGAATCAATTCATTATTCAGCAAAAAGTTAATACCTTTATAGCGAAATCTTAAAACAGCAAGACACTCAACATTCAAATCAGATACACCCTATAAAGTCACATGACAAAACTAAACCTAGAATTAAAGATTAGCTAATGAAGCTTGAAATGTTCAACAGATTGAGCTTGAAAAGAAGAGTAAATAGTCCTTGTAATCAAATAATTAGTCTATTTCATAATTCAATTACTAATAGTTGAATATATATATATACAAGCTCGAAGACAAAACCGACCTAAGATTATTATCATCTAAACATAAACATTTCAGATAGTTATGACCTAAGTCGTGAGTCTATATATGACCCACAAAGATCACGCCAAACAACAAAACACGTTTCTCGGATAACATAGCAGCAATAGATACCGAACGATATAGGCTAAAGGGTCTTAGAGGATTATGCAATGCGAGATATCATCAAGCAGCGTTGGGAAAATGCTGAGACAGAAGTTTGGCAATCTCCTAGAAAATCAATTAAGAAGAACTAAAACCCAGAATCACTAGTAAATCAGGTTCATGTACAATAGAGTGAAACAACTTACCCGGAAAGCAACCATTTCGACGACGGAGAGATCAAGCTCCAAAGAAAAGAGAGAGAGAGAGCAAGAGCTATAAACGGTGGCGCTGACGGGAAATCTATAAAAGAGCTTCTCTATGAAAAACCCTAGGCGAAGATACACAGTATCTATGGGCCTTTTCGTTTTCTATTTGGGCCTTCGACAAATCCATTTTTACATTGTAAATTTCATTTGCAGCGGTCAAATTAAATTTAACTATTCTACAGGTTTAATAGCGGTGAAATTAAACTTACCTATTCTACAGCTTTGACGGTAAACTATTTAACGAGTTAAGACTTTACTAATAACCTGTTCTTATCCCCTAATCGTATCCACAAACTTCTTTTTTTTTGGTCAAACCACAAGTTTTTTTTTGGTTATAGAAATATCTCCATAATTTTTGTCACACGTATACGAAGTCAATAACCATAATGTCGGCAAGATTTTTTTTTTTTTTTTTTTTTTTTTTTTTTTGCTAAACGGCCAAGATATTGATGGATTAAATCAAAAGAAATACATATATTTTTTATTATACTATGGTTTTGAGAAGAACACTTTAAAGTAAGCAAAACGAATGCTCGGTAGTCTTGAGACAATATACAGCGAGCTCTTAAAGTAAACACACTTGTACGGCCTATCCGGTCTATATCGGATTTAGAGCGTCAAATCTTCACTTTACGACCAGACCCTTGATCCTCTTAATGCTCCAATCACGATGAAAATCGTAGCAATAACAGCCTGTGACACAAGTTACTAGTTAGTCATGAGAACTGAACAAATGTGATGACGACAAATGAAAAGATTTAAGAATATGGACTCACTCCAATTGTGCAAGCTATATATCCTGGTCTCTCACGCTGGTTTCTAGAGAAAAGGAATAGGAAAAAGCCAATGTACCAAGGGATAGCACCGAAGAAGAAACCAAGGATGAATCTTCAAGAAACAATAAAAAAACATATGTGAGCATGTCATGTTTGCTCAGAAATTGACAAGAATGTAATGATATCAGTGGGAGAAGGTAAAATGATGAATTAGACTTACAATAACCAGCCAATGCCTATACCACAACAAGGAAGACGATGGTGTTCTGTTGAATACTTTACGTCAACAACAGCATAACCTGCGACTAAAAACTATACCTCATGAAAACTAGACAAGAACAGCCAAAGTGATGTCTCGGAAAAATTAGTTAATTACACAACCCTTTCGAGAAACTAGACTTTGCCAAAGAAATTTTGACAAGAACAGCGATAATCGATTTTCTCCATATATATGACATGATTCAAAAGAACCAATCTTAAATTGTCTAAGTAATTTTTGTTTTGTTAATCTTTCGCATTTTGCACTTTAATAAAAAAAATAAAAAATATATCAAAATCCTGATACACATACCAACAAAAAAAACTCTTCATTCTCAAATCTCAAATGAATCTAGCATCTTTTTTTTTTCTTCTCAAAGTATACATAATACGTATTAGTACCGTATTGAATACGTAACAGTCTAACAGATATATTCTCTTCAAAGTAGACAGAACACAAATTAGTACCGTAACAGATCGTTTCGTTTTTTTTTTTTTGTTAAAGCCAAGTTAATAGATAGATTCTCTTTCAATTACTGGATCAGGTTCGAATACAAAGGATCGCAATGAAAGATGAAGCGTATATATATTATTATACACACAAAAATCGAAATGAAACAGCTGATCTGATAAATTTCACATTAATTAATGAGAAGTTGAGGACATGAGAAAGAATCTAACCAGGGACGTGTGGTTGAGCCGGCTGTGGATAAGCGGTGGCCGGTGGCTGCTGCTGCTGCGGCGGAGGTGGATAGTTGGAGACGCCTTGAAACGGAGGCTGCTGGTGGTTATGTTCCGTCCCCACTGATCTGTTTTTGCCGTCTTCTACGCCGCTCGTCATCTCTCTCTCTCAGATCAATAAACAAAAACAATCTTCTCTGAATTGGATTTGTTTTTGATCCGAGACGGTGAATCCAAGATTTCGTTTGTTCTTTCAGTTTTTTGTTTTTTTTGTATTTAGAGAGTGCACATGCCTACGTGGCGTTTTGTCCGGCTGGCTGGTCAGCTTTACAACTACATTGCTATAATTTCGTACTTGCGTAATTCGAGGGGAAAGACTTACTATATTCATTTTTTTTCTTTCCATTAAATAAACACTAACGAAAGTAATTAAAACGCGTAGTTCATAATGCAAGAAAAACACCTCAAATGCTCTAACGTGTGTTTTCTTGTTTTCTTTAACGTCATTTTAGTTGAAAAGGGTTTACGATCTTTACCTAGTTTTGATGATATCCCCAAGATAAAGCAAAGGCAACAAATATAATAACATCCAACTTCATCTCTGGTACTAAGTTAGTGCGAGTCCATCCGCGCAAAGACAAAGGCGAATAGTATTTGTTCGACTTGGTACATTTATGTCCCAAGCTTACAAATTATCTTACGCGATATTAGTAGTTTCTCACATGTATTTTGTTTTGTTCGTACTAAGGCGCACATCAAAATTTGGAAATCATCCGACGATAACCCAAGCTCGAGGTAGTGTCTAATGTGACTTTCACATTCTCTTTAGATGATGACAGATTTGGCGATATGTACCTTACCTGATCTACAATGAGGACCAGTTTAATATTTTAGTGTTGATGAAAATATTTTGTAAACTTTTCTTTCTAAAATAATGAAAATAATTCTCTATATAGTTCAGTTGGCATATACTATATCAAAGCCTGAGTCTAATGCCATCTTCTCTCCTTTAATTGCAAAGAAAAAACATCAACAACTGCATATCCATAAATACATAAAGTATTTATTTAATTTTGTGGATTTTCTTGTAAGTCTATATGTTTAAAAAAAAAACATCTCCATAACAGGAGTCATGAGATAGAGTGAAGTATTTATCTCATTCTATTCAATGTAAGTTGCTGCATTTTAGCAAAACGTAGATAATACATGTACATAATGATGACACAAATCAGATGATCTGGAAACGTAATCAAATTGTAATAAGCTGCTCCATCAGATCGATGCACCTCCTTTTAGCGAACGGCTAAGATCTAATGCACGATTCAGTTGGAAGATGACATGAGAGATGAGACCCTCACACGTGTCTGACACGCTTGCACTCATTCAGGCGGTTGACGCGTTTTATTCTTCTTCCAAAAATGTTTTTTTTTTGGGTCAAACTCAAAAGTGTCTGCTTCCGGGAACAAAAACGGCATCGTTTTATAAAACATAAAAAGAAAATCGCCACAATAGGATTTGGATCGAATGTTTTCTTTGTCCTCGTCTCTATGTCTTTGTCCCTGTCTCCACTAAACTGATCAAATCCACAGCAGAAAGAAACAAAAAAAATATCAACTGCAATCATTTCTTTTTTCCAAGGCTGCTGTACTTGGCGCTTTTCTTTGACCTGTTCGTACCAAAAACACGCCATGAAGAAGTTTGAATCGATTCGGATGGTTTGATTTCATGAGATTAGAATTTGATCCCCTGGGTTGAGAAAAAGCTTTGATCTTTTGTATAGTTCTTGTCGTTACGGATTATCAATCGATAGGAAAGTGGAAGTGGAAGTGGGAAGTGTGATAATGGAGTGTTCAGTATTCCATCATGTGGTGATTGTGTTAATGTTCCTTTGGGCTCTCGCTTACTTCAATCGATCACACGCCCTTTTCTATTTCCTCTCTCTGATCTATCTCTACCTGGTATTGTTTCTTCTGCTTTATCTCTGTTAAAAGCCTGGATTTTGATGGATTGGGTGAACAAAGATTGTGGTTTTGGTTGTATCTTCTTTAGGTTCATGAACGGTATGTGATGAGATTGAGGAGGAAATTTCAGTTTGAAGAGAGGAAGCAAGCTAACCAGAGACGGGTATTTTTCAAGTTGAATGTCTTGTTTCATTATGTATGGAACAGAAAGATGCTGACTTTAGCTTTGTTAGGTTCTATCTGATTCTGAATCGGTGCGGTGGATGAATCATGCTGTGGAGAAGATATGGCCAATTTGTATGGAACAGATTGCGTCTCAGAAGATTCTGCGTCCGATCATACCTTGGTTCTTGGACAAGTATAGACCTTGGACCGCGGTAACCCCCATACAAATTTGTTTCTCTGTTACTAGGCAACTTGCTGTATCACAGTTTACAGTTGAAGAGACGGACTTGTGTTAATGATGGTATGATACCTTGTGTGCAGAAAGAAGCTGTGATACAACACCTTTACTTGGGAAGAAGCCCGCCATTGTTGACAGATATAAGGGTGCTCCGGCAATCTACCGGTGATGATCACTTGGTATAGTGGCAAAACTTCAGCTTTGGTCACATCTGGTTTTTAATATCTCTAGAGGAAGCAGAACTTATACTGAAGTGTATACAGGTGCTGGAACTTGTCATGAATTTCCTCACAGCAGATGATATGAGCGCAATACTGGCCGTGAAGTTGAGAAAAAGACTTGGGTTTGGCATGTGGACAAAGTTACATTTGACAGGAATGCATGTCGAAGGAAAGGTACTGGATTTTCTTATCCATACGCATATAATACTCACACGCTCTCTTAAAATGAAGTACCTTGATTCATTGGAATACACCTTTAACTCTTGAAGGTGTTGGTTGGAGTGAAGTTCCTTCGTCGATGGCCGTTTCTGGGGCGTTTACGTGTGTGTTTTGCAGAGCCGCCTTATTTCCAAATGACTGTTAAACCAATCACTACTCATGGGCTTGATGTTGCTGCACTTCCAGGGATTGCAGGATGGCTAGTAAGTATTGATATCTGACAAGTTTGTAAACTTAATTAGTCTAGAAACTCTTCTTCAGAAATTTCTGATATTTTCCCTCTTTTAACGCTCCCAACAATATTTTTGTTTTCCACCAGGACAAACTTCTGTCTGTTGCATTTGAGCAAACTCTTGTTGAGGTAAGGTTCTTGTGGTTTGTCGCCTTTCTCTCTCAATGGTAGGGATTAGTTTCTTTTCGTAGAAGCAAAGATTATCATTACAAGACGCCAGCTAAGTGAATCTTGTGCCTAATTTGCAGCCAAATATGCTGGTAGTTGATATGGAGAAATTTGTTAGCCCACAATCAGGAGGTAACTATTGCAGAAGATGTTCAGAGTCCTTGACTCTATCTTGTTCTTCTTCTTCTTTTTTTTTTTTTTTGGTTCCTGAAGTTATTGATCTCTCTCAACCTTCTCTTTTGTCTGTGTTTGTTTCCAGAAAATTGGTTCTTTGTTGATGAGAAAGAGCCAGTCGCACACGCCCTTGTTGAAGTCATTGAAGGATCTGATATGAAACCATCAGATCTAAATGGTTAGTCTGCATATCACCGGCCGAGTTAGTGTCCTCTTTCTAGTAGTCTGAATGAAATTTTATGAACTGCTTGGATTTTGGATGCTTCAGGTTTAGCTGATCCTTATGTGAAAGGGCAGCTCGGCGCCTACAGATTCAAAACCAAGATAATAAGGAAAACTCTGGCTCCCAAATGGCAAGAAGAGTTCAAGATACCAATCTTGACATGGGACTCTCCAAACATACTCAACATTGAAGTTCAAGACAAAGACCGGTTCAGCGATGACAACCTTGGCGACTGTTCAGTAAACATTGCAGAGTTTAGAGGCGGCCAAAGAAATGATATGTGGTTGCCTCTTCAGAACATTAAAATGGGGAGACTGCATCTTGCTATAACAGTAACTGAGGACGAGGCAAAGGTAGGTTCAGTTTCTGTTTATTCTCCTTGAAACACAAAGTTTTCAGGATTAGTCTTAGCAATGTGCATCTGATTCTTGTACAGTGGAATGATGATCCGTTTGAAGGAGCGACAATAGGTAAGGAAGATATGTGGGCTTCTTATGCTACCGACCTTACAAATAAAGGCTCCTTCTCATCAGTGGTGTCTGATAAGTCTCCAAGGGTTAGGGATAATATGGAACCAATCAACATCGAAGGACAAGAAGAGACTGGAATCTGGGTACATCAGCCAGGAACTGATGTCTCACAGATTTGGGAACCAAGAAAAGGCAAGAGTAGATGCGTCGATAACCAAATACTAGGAGTTTCTCATGATACTTCTGCTGGCAGTGTTCATTCCACTGCATCTGTGTCGCCGAACAACGAAAGCAGCAGCCCAGATGAGAACCAGGAAGGGAAGAAGTCTGTTGGCCGGGGCTTGAAGAAAATCGGTTTAGTGTTCCATAAGAATGGGAAGAAGGAAGAAGGTCAAAACACAGGGAACATTGAAGAGGATCTCAGGTCTCCTCGGATTAATTTGAAGGCGTTAAATCGAAAGGATGTTGGGGTAAAGTACATCGTTGAAGACCGTCTCTCAGGGCCTCTCACAGGAAGAAGTCCAAAAGGTGAGAGCTTTGGTGCTGAAGACAGTCAACAAAAGGGACACATGAAGGTTGCAAAGAGCATTCTAAAACATGCTGAAAAGTCTGCTAGACACTTAAAGCATGCGTTTTCGCGTAAAGGATCAAGGAAGTCGAGAGATGATGAGAACTTCTCAACCGTGTCAGAGGAAGATGGTGTTCCTGAATTTGACTCATATTCTGATGATGAATCTGCAGTTAGTAAGGTGCAGGACGTGGGGACACCAAGAACAGGAAAATCTGAAGGGAAAGTTGTCAGGGCACGTGAAAATGATCATGTAAATACATCAGCAAACTCCAATGAAGAAGCTAGAGGTCTTGCAAACATTTCGACAAATAAAGAAGCAAAGGTACAGAAAGTAGACATGGAAACTACTTATGTGGATGCCAGGAGCTCTTCTCCTGGAGCTGAGAAAGTTTATACGCCCAAGAATATCAAAAGATAGAAGAAATGGAATTATAGATAAAAAATCAAAAGCTTGAGGATGGAGAGATTTTAGTATTTTCAAGTGAAATAGTTGTAAATTTACACCAAAGGCTTCTTGTACAGCTTTTTGAGTTTTGAAAATTTCTCTTGGTTTAACAGCTTTTGAGTCTCTTTCTTGCTTCTTCCATTTTCTTCAGAACTGATGCTAGCTTTTACGCTCTGTTCCATCCGTCAAACGATGCGATTCAAATCGGCTTGAGATTCATTGTTCTTTGAAACTACACAGTTCACAATTTTCCACCACATCCCTGTCTTTGGAACAAAGCCATGATCCACCATTCTCCTCAAAACCCAGTCCATTTCCGCAACCGACTTCGTTTCACAGAGCCCCAAAACCATCTTCTTGTACGAAAGAAAACTCGGTCTCATACCCCATGAGATCATCTGACTCATCATCACTTTAGCTTCCAAGTTCCTCTTTTTATCCAAGAGACCATATAGCACCTCCTGATAAGTCCCAGGGTTTGGTTCACACCCTTTCAGCTTCATCTTCTCCAGAAGCTCAATCCCTTCTTCAACCCTACCTTTCTTCCTAAGCCCCGAGATCAAAATGTTAAACGTGATAGTATCCGGTTCGATCCGTTCCTTCTCCATCCTCTCCAACAACTTAAACGCTTCCTCGAACTTTCCCCTGTTACAGAAACCTCTGATTAACGGTGAAAACGTCATCACGTTAGGCCGCGATTTTTGTTTAGGAAATTCGTCGAGCAGTTGGAGTGCAGCGTCCATGTTCCCACTCTCGCAGAGTCCTTTGATGAGAATGTTCAAGCAACAAGCGTCGATTTCCACGCCCAGCTTAGGAGCGCTCACGAAGATGTTATGAATCTCGTCGAAGAGCTTCGCGGAGACGAGTAGATTCAGAATGAAATTGAAGCTCTTGGCGCTTGGCCAGCATCCGAAATCCGGCATACGGAAGAGAATCTCGATCGCTCGGTTGATTCTTCCGGCTAAGTTTCCGTAAATCTTCATCAGATTGTAGAAGAACTCTTCTGAAAAACGGCACCTTTTCTCGAGGTTTACTCTTTTCATGACCTCTTCGATCTCGTCGAACATCTTGGCTTGACCGAATTTGTTGATCAGGAGGGCGTAGAGTGGTTCCGTCGGCTGGTAATCTTTCCGTTTAGAGTAGTGTTGGTACGCCGGCAGCAGAAAGCTCGGGTCTTTGACATTTTCGAAGATTTTCAGAACCTCATTTGGCGCCAACCAGTCCTTGTGGTTTAGTCTGGCGAGTTTATCGTCGCCGGAGTATCGTTGCGACGACGGCGTATATCTTTCAGAAGAAGAAGAGGAGAGAAGTCGGAGAGAAGAAGCAGAAAGTGGTTGGCTTCTTCTGGGATTTGAATTCGATGTTGCAGAAAGAACAAGCCTCCGAAGAATCATTGTTTCTGCTGAAGCTCAACAGAAAGAAACCGCGAACTGTTTATATATTGGCGCCTAACAATAACCTGAAGTAAACCAAGTGGTTTAGTGTTTTAGATATTTCGGTTCGGAAAAATCTTGCTCGATTTGGTTCTAAATTACGCTCGATGTAAAAATATAAACGTGAAAAAAGTAGGTCAGTTTATCAAGAACTATATTTTGGCCCATGGCATTTACACCAGTAAAGTATATGTTTATGTATAATTGTCAAATGTATTTTATTATTTTAGGAGAAAATTTCAGCTATAGGCATTTTTCTGAGTGTATTACGGTGAGAGGCACTTTTTTGAGTTTTGTAACAGAAAAAGAAAAAGGCACTTTCCGTAGTAGGGGCACTTTTTTTGAGTTTTTTTGTGTTAGTAAACCCAAAATAGCCCTCGGTAACTCATTTTTTTTATCCCTCTTCAGTTAAAAACAACGATACTTTTCTGGGTTAATAGTTTTTCGGTTTTTCCTGAAAATCATTTGGCATCGCCGTGACTGTGTTTAAGTTTTGGTCGGTGACTTTGTCCAGGTTTTCCGACGAAGGACTGCTCGAAGGTGAGAGTTTTGCTAAGTTTTGTCGATTAGAAACGATGGTGACATGGGGTGAAGATGTCTGAAACTATAGTTAATAGCAGAGAATATAAAGCCATTACGCAAACTTCGAACTACTTTAATGGGCACAAGATTCATGAAGAGATCTTCAAATATGTGCTGCTTAATTTTGCAGTCGATAGCTATATTTATTGTTGTTATCGCTGGACTAGATCTGAAAACTCGAAATTAAGATCTGAAGAGTCCCGATAAAAATCGATATGTAATAATGTACGATGAACTGGATTTGTTTTTTTTTGTCGGTGATAATTGACCAGAATTTCGTGGTGAATATGGACGAATGGTCATTATTTGGTATTGCGGCAGATATTTTTTGGGGTTCAATGTGGATAAAGAAGTGAAACTCATTACTTCTAGATGGAAATGTAAGTATGGATAGTTTAACGTGGACGCATGATTCGTTGGGCATAAAAAGTATTACGATTAACACACCGCAATTTCATGTGGATGTATCTATATGGATATAAGATAGTGGATGATTACCAACTAAGCCAACAGTTCTCATGTTTTTGCCTCTCTGTTAAAGTAAAAGTCGATGTTGGTGTGTCGGAGGAAGAAACATGTAGGTGGGAGGAGGCAATTGAGACTTCATTCTTGTGGACCATAAAATGTGGACGTGAATGGAGAGAATAAAAGAGAAATAGTTTGTATACATTTCTTTTGGCTTTCTACTTAAAATTAAGTGTCAAAAGTAGATAGTGTTCTTTCTTCTTTCAACTTTGGATTGATTTCATTCAAAATGAATCAAAGCTTCATACAATCAATAGCGATCATAGCTTCATACAAAGAGTCGTTCGAATTGAATCAAAGCTTCATACAATCAAGAGAGATGATAGAAATCTAAATCTAATTCTAATTAATGGAAAAACAAAAACTGCTTAGTGTTGCAATGATTGGAATGACTCTTTTTATAGTCTGTGATTTGTAATTCTTTCAACTTGAACGTCTTAGATGTAATAATTTCTTCATCTCTATCACTCTGCAAAATGTAGATGTTATATCAGTGTGGATATCAAAACATGGACACATAGCGATGGATAAAAGACTAATGAAACATCCCTGCAAAAAAAAAATGCATAGAAAGAGTCGTGTGGATATAAGAGCAAGCTGGTATGGATGCATGTGTGTTGAGAGAATTCTCAGATGACATAAAAATGGAATACTCTACACAAATGGACACATCCATATGATCAGACCCATTTGGATACATAAAACATTTAACTAATATTAATATAGCATCTGGACATTATTTGGATATTTATCCATATGGATACAACATTATGGAGCTAGATGATTACCAATGAGTTAGAATGAAGCTGCCATCTTAGAAAGCCGATCACTTCAGCATACTTGTCCCAAAAAACTGAAGACTTGTAACAAGGAGAGTCACTCCCTGAAAATCTGAAGACACAAACAAAAAAAGCATATAACTCTATATCAAAATAAAACTTTCTCAACCAAAAAAGATTAAGAACTATAGTAAACGTACAGAGGAAAGCATTAAAAACATGCCTACTCGATCAGGAGGCAAATGCCAAATAATTACAAGAGATACAAAATTGATTTTATTACTTAAACACACAATCTACATAACCAAAAACTAGTTTACATTTCTCCATTATGAAACTTGGCTAAATAACTAGTATCAAATTCTTAGAAACTTAGATCAAATCATATTCTCATCAATCAATAATCACAAAAGGTTTACCAGAAAAAAAAATTGAATAAAATATGGTCTCATTTGAATTTACCTGAAAAAGTCACAAAAGTTTTCAGCTCAAAGGAAAGAAATCACATGAGTGTGAGGTTTGGTGTTCCAAATGCAAGCTTTGTCTCATTAGAATTCCAAGTCATCGAATGTACCTTTCAATCCAAAAAGTTCCCCCTATGTTTAAAATGAACAAAACAAGGTATGATTTGAAAATTCAAAACATTAGATTACGGGCCAGACACAATAAAATGGACAGATTGGGAGTGGATGATATGAACATAGACTTACCAACCAGAGATATGATTTATTTCTGAATACAAAGTAGATGGACACGAAAAAATGAATGAGTTTGTAGTCATGACATAAACGTATCCACATGGATATGTGGTTATGGATATTAATGTGATGGACAACTTGTCAATGAGGCAACTAATCTACGTATCTCTATAGTGAAGAAAATTGAAGATATCTCAAGGAAATAAGAATCGCATCACACAGCTAACAAGGTTGAGCAGCTTAACAACAAAGCTAAAAGCTTCACTCGAATATTGGATCGTTGTATGGTTCACGAGCCTTGGAACGATCGAGTTAATAACAACATGAAATTAGGCAATTTTCTTTAACCAAAGAGGGGTGTCTAAACCACATAGCTAAAAGCAACTTCTTAACTCAAAAATATAATCATATATAGATCATAGTGCAAAGGTGACAAGCCAACAGAAACATCGGATTCACATCACACCTGACCTGAGCATAGTTTGATGGTTGATCAATTTATAAAAATGTATCCATATGAATATATATAGGTGGATCAATGCATGAATGGATGGTTGTCTATGGATAGTACTAGTATGGAGCAAGGCAAATTCTACATGGATACAATTATCCATATGGACGTGTATGTGTGAAGGTAAGCGTGGATAGATATTATTGATCCCAGAATCATCAAATCGTAGCAGTAAACTATATTTTATCTATAGACATGGTATCCAGATGGACATGAGAATGTGGATGATCATAGCAGAATGAGATGTACAAATGAATAACAGAATTAAAAAATTTGATAATCCATATGTATCAATCTTCATGGACAAGTTATAATGGATATTGTAGTTCTAAAACTAGGCAACCTGTTTTGTAATGTTTCTTATGGCCTTCAGATGTATGGACACACTTTTGTGAACAAAATAGACACAACTAGGTAAATTTAAGTGCAAGCAATTTAAAAGCTAGATGGATTCTATACACAGTCTCGTGGACAAAATGGAATGTACAACTAGCTAACAATATTGCCAACACCTTTGAAATACAAGAGAGTAAAATTGAGACCGAGAAGTCTTAGTTTCAGTTTAAAAGAATCAAAGACTCATTGTAAGAAAAAAATAGAACTAGTAGATGGTATGATTTAATTCAGGAGGCTACTTACGGACAGTGTGACAACGAAGAAGAAGAGAGACCGGAGAAGAAGGTGGAAATGAAAAAAAAAGTGCAAACGAAAAGAGACCATTGCAGGAGAACGAAGAACAAGGTGCAGACAAAGAGAGACCATTGCAGGAGATCTGAGGTGGCTCTCTTACTCTTCCGTTATAGTTGAAAAAATTTCTGCAAAATGATTGAGAAATTAAAATCAAAACCAGTGATAGAATTTTACAAGTCGATTTGGAAACTGTGCCACACGACTCTAATATCAAGAGATAAACAAACTTAAAGAAGGAGAATCAGATATTATAGAACATAGATAAATGAATTCTTCAAAAATCAAAAGATGCAATCAAGTTCTTCCAAATCCCAGATGGATAATCTCAGAATCCTCCTAAAAGCTTCAAATTCCCAACACCAAAAGCTACAAAATTGTAAACGTTTGTATAGAGAACAAATGCGTTGATGAGAAAACTAAATTTTCGGCTCATAAATCGTTGTAATAAAGTTTCAGTAAAGTTCCCGTTCACAAATTAAAACCCTTTAGCAGAGACCCAACTCACAACACAAATGATTTTATACCTTCTTGGCCTCACACGGGAACATATTTGGATTAAGGTGAGAAGTGGAGGGATCCATGGCCTTCGACGGTAACGATTAGGGGAAAAGTTAGGGTTTTTAATCATCAATAAACTCAGAACAGATTGATGGAGGGGAAATTTATTGTGGAAGATTGATGAAAACCGTGTGAGGAGTGAACGAACCTAGATTTTCTCTGATGTTTGTGGTCGGCGAATCAAAGCCCCTGCAAGGTTTTCTCGCCGGAAAAATAGAGTTGTAAATAAGAGTTGTCGGTGTAAAAATTTGAAGAAGTAAAAAAAAGAGTAAGTTTTAGTGAGAAAGGGTATCTTCGTCAATCCGTCTGATGGAAGTGCACCATAAGTTGGAAGTGCCTTTTTGTGTTAACATAAAGTGGGAAAGTGCCTCCCAGTGTAAATAACTCCATTTTTCTAAAGTTTAATAACAGCCAAAGACACTTCCTGCTCCTTAGTGACTTTGGCTGTTTTTGGAGTGAAATTAAATTCCAGATATGTGCCCTTGTTTTAATTCCCAAACCTTTTCAACTTTTTTTTTACCATATTTTTTTACCATGAAACCAAGCGTCTTTCTATTATTTGTAAGACTGAAGAACTCGCCATACGTTGGCCGGAGGATGAACAATATTGAAGCTTTT